AAAAAACAAAAAAAAAGAAAAGCATTGGATATATCTGCAAGATGGAAAAAGATGGGGGGGTTATAGCTGCTGGCTATATATCTGCCATCAAGGGTCTGTGGAATATTTGCCTTACATGAGCAAGGGCCTAGACTCCATCCCCAGCACTGAAAATAAAACACTCAAAATAAGAGAATAAAACAAAACAAAGATGGAACAAAAAATACTTGATGCAAAGGATGCTTAAACTCATTTGTACTTTAGAAATCAAATCAAAGCCATAGTCAAGATTATTTTATACATATGAGATTAGTAAATCTGAACCATTGCCGAAGTTTGCTAAGAAAATGAAACTATTCTTGCATTGCTTTTTGCTCATGCTTTTTTCTCCCTTGTTGCTGTATTGTGTCTGGCACTCAGAATCTTGCACATGCTAAGCAGGTGCTTTACTTCTGAGCCATATTGCCAGCCTTCATTCATCACCTCTATTGTGAACACTGCAGCTCTTTTGGTGAAAGATTTGGAATTGCCAATTCAATTGAATATGCATATACTTTGAGCTTTCACTCTTGAACATTTATCCTCATAATACTTCCTCAGGATACTTGTATGAGAACAAACACTCTTAGGGGGTGGAGAGATGGCTCAGCAGTAAGGAGCACTGACTGTTCTTCCAGAGGATCCAGGTTCAACTTCCAGTTTACATGACAGCTCACAACTGTCTGTAACTCCAGATTCAGGGAATCTGTAACTTAAATTGGCAAGACACTAATACACTTTAAAAAAAATTTTTTTTAGTATTATTCATAATAGTCCAAAGAGAAAATAACCTTAGGATCCTCAGCAGTTAAATAAATATTTTTTTAGGGCCTAGAATACTCAATGGCAGAAAGAAATCACAGAAGAATATAGCCTTGATTCCATATACAGAAGTCAAAACAAAGAAAAAAAAAGGAATGGTTGTCAGTCTCTGTGAGGGAGAGAATGTGTTTTGGTTAATTACCTGTGTGGATATGCGTATGTGAATATAGGTGTCCATGGATGTCAGAGGTATCTGGTTTTCCTTGGGCTGGAGTCATAGGTTGTGAACAGTTCAATTTGGGCACTTTGAACCACTCCCAGGTCCCCTGCATTCTTTAATAACTGAGCATGTGCTTGTGCGCGCTGCCCGCCCTCCCTCCCTCCCACACACCCTCTCTCCCTCCCTCCCTCTCCCTTGTTTTCATGTATTTTTGAGGTAGGATTTTTATTTTGCCCAGGCTGTTATAGAAATCCATAGAACTCAGCTTACCTTTTCTTGTGTCAGCCCTCCTGCAACTTCCTCTAGAGTTCTGGGATTATAGTCATGTGCCACTATTCCCAGCTAATTTAGTTCCTGTGGTAAGACAATTAATGCAGTAGACTAACATCCAAATATAGACCCAGACAACTGATTTGTAACAGGCACTGAAGGGTGAGTAAGTGGAAAAAAAAGAGTCCTTTAGCAGATAGGTTCTGTAACGATTGGATATTGATTTGTGCAGTTTATTTTTGAAAAATGAAAGCTCTCATCTGGGTATGGTTATGCACACTTGTAATCCTAGTACTTGAGAGAAAAAGGACAGGAGAGTTACCACAAGGATTAGACAAGTCTGCTCTACATGATAAGGTCCAGGTTGTGCAGATCTACAGTGAGACCCTCTCAGAAAATAAACCAAAAACATATAAGTTCTTGAACTGTACTTGGCATACATTTTAGGTTAGCACAATTTCTCTTAGTACATAAGTACATGAATTATGCAATAAAATATTGTCATTTATTTTACTTTATGTGTATGAATGTTTTGCCTGCATGAATATATGTATACCAAATGTGTACCTGTTGGATTCCCCTAGAACTGGGGTTACAGATAGTTGTGAGCCACCATATGGGTGATAGGAATCAAACCCCTGACCTCTGCCAAGAGCAAGTGTTCTTAATTGCTGAGTCATCTTATCAGCCCCCTATTTTAAAATTTTCTTTTGTTGTTGAAACAGGGTCTTGCTGTGTAGCCCAGACTGACCTTGAATTCACTATATAGGAGATGCTGGAAAGGTCCTGATCTTGCCTCAGCCTTCTGGGGATTATAGATTATGACTTGGTACTTTTGTACCAGATCATTTTGTTTGTTTGTTTAGTTAAGTGGTTCGCAACCTGTCGGTCACAGCCAGATATCATACATATCAGATATTTACATTACGATTCATAGTGGTTTGCAAAATTATTATAAAGTAGCAATGAAATAATTTTATGATTGGGGGTCATCACAACATGAGGTGTCCACAGCATTTGGAAGGTGAAGAACCATTGGTTTAGTTGATTTTTGAAACTGTCTTTGAAGTCCATGCTGGCCTTTAGTTCACTATTGCAGATTGGCTTTGAACTCAAAGCAATTCTTCCCCACCCTTACAAGTGCTGGAGTTATAGACATGATACTGTGTCAGGTTCATTTTATTTGTTAAGAAATAAAAATGGAAATCTGAGAAACGAAGTTCACTATACCTAGATACTCGAGAGTGTTCGTGAATTTTGTTTGCTAGGCATCCTAAGTCACTGTTTATTGCTGTGAAGAGATACCGTGATTAAAGGATCTTTTTTTTTTTTCTTTTGAGTCAGGGTTTTACTGTGGAGCTCTGGCTGTCCTGGAACCCTGTAGATCAGGCTTCCTTGAACTCACAGAGATCTGCCTCCTTCTGCCTCCTGAGTGCTGGAATTAAAGGTGTATTAACACCACCCAACCTAAAGTAACTCTTATAAAAAGAAAGCATTTAACTGAGAGGGCTTGCTTACAGTTTCAGAGGCTTAGTTTATTGTCTTCATGGCAGGGAGTATGGAAGCACATATAGCATGGAACAGTAGCTGAGAGTTGCGTTCTGATACACAGGCAGAGAGACAGACAGGCATACCGGGACTATCTTGCAGTTTTGAAAGCTCAAAGCCCACCCCCAGTGACACATTTCTACTCAGAAGGCCCTAATCCTTTCAGATAGTGCCATTCTCTGGTGACTAAACATTCAAATATATGAGCCTATGGGAGCCATTCTTACTCAAATCGCCATATTAGGCATGTATACTACTAGGTCATGTTTTCTATTTCTTTAGATTTCTAAGTCTATTTATTAAGTATCTCTTAATTTTCTCTATCATTTGTATAGGTTGGAAAGGAGAAAATGCTGAAGGTAAAGATTGTGAAGATTCATCCTTTGGAGAAAGTTGATGAAGAGGCTGCTGAGAAGAAATCTGATGGGTCTTGTGATTCTCCATCAAGTGACAAAGAGAATTCCAGTCAAATGGCTCAGGACCACCAGAAGAAAGAGACAGTAGTCAAAGAGGATGAAGGCAGGAGAGAGAGTATTAGTATGTATGATGCTGGCCTTGCTCCTGAGTTGATCTAACATTCTTTAGCAACCATATGCATAATTTGTTTTTATATAGGCATGATTGTATTCGTTGTGATTCAAAAAGCCACTGAAATATCCATGTGACTTAGGACTTAAAGCTCCCTAAATAATTAAGACTATTCCTAACCAAGATGGTAAAGAAAATTGTATTTCTTTTACTCTTCTTTTTTTCTTTTGAGTCAGAGTCTGTAGTCTAGGCTGGCCTCAAATTTGGAGAGGTTCTCTTGTCTCTGTCTCCTAAATTCTAGGATTACAAGTGTGCACCAACATACACCCAGGACTCTTTCCTATGCTTTAGTTATTGTTGTTTTTTGTTTGTTTGTTTGTTTTCTGGAGACAAGGTCTTACAATATAGCCTTGGCTGGCTTGGAACTTACTAGGTAGACCAGGCTGGTATGGAACACACACACACACACACACACACACACACACACACACACACACACACACACACACACACACAGAGAGATAAGCCTGCCTCTGACTCCCTACTGCTGGGATAAAAGATGTGTGCCATCATGCCTTTCCCTCTTTCCTCTTAAAGCTGAGAGCATGTACATGTGTATAGAGAGAAGGCAGTGATCTAGGTAGACAAAGCACGTTCTAATCCCTCCTGTTCTTTACAGTGTAAGCTAGTGTGATGTCTTTCAGATACTCCATTTTTCTGTTTGTCTCTTTGTATCTGACTATCCTAGGTAGAAACCTCTTGAATTCTGAAACACTGCAATATCCAAAAATAATTTGTTCAGACCTGGAGACTAAAATAATTAACAGTTAGAGTAACTAAGACCATTGCTCATTAGAAAATGTGCTCTGACAGTGCTACCACATCCTAAACACTTATCATTTATTTAATTTTGACTGTTTAGATAAGGAAATTAACTGCAGTAGTTATGATGGCACAGTGTTTGTTATGTATGATCTGTATCTGTTGATCAAATAATTTCACTTCACTAGTTTAGTTGCCACTTTGCCTGCCATCCATTCTATTGTGTCCAGATGTTTTGGATCCATACTGATTATTTTAGAAGGCCTTATGGTAGTCTAAAGGAAACTTCTGAGGCTAGCTGTAACTGGCCTTTCAGTGTTGTCATTTCATCTATTTTTTTCTGTTCTGTTTTCAACGCATATGCCTACCATTTCCAGTTTCTCTTCTGAAGTTTTATTATAAGCTTATTCTTTTTGTATTATATGTGTGTGAGTCTGTATAAGTGTATATACTATATGTGTGTAGGTGCACAGAGGTCAAGAGAAAGACCCTCTCGATCAGAGTTGCAGGTGATAGTGAGTCATCCAGTGTGGGTTCTGGGAGCCGAACCTGGGTCCTAGAGGAGAACAGCAAGTGCTCTTAGCTGTTGAGCCATCTCATCGGCCCTCAAAATGAGGGAATTCTGATTACCTGAGGTTGAAAATTGTTTTCGTGAGGTGGGAGGAAAGGGTTAATATATGGGCAGGAACATAATGTGTTAACAATGTGTTCATATTTTGGCTTGATGTTTTATTCTTTGTTTTTTTTTATAACACTGGGTCTCTTGTGACCAAGACTAGCCTTGAATTTCTGATCTTCCTGTTTGTACCTCCCAGTAGTTGGGATTATATATAGGTGTGCACCACCATGTCCAATGATACACTTAGGTCCTGTTTATCCCAAGATTCTTGAGAATATTTATTGTCTTCTCTTCCTGCTGACCAGTGGCTGATTCCTTTGTACTGTTATGATTTAACTTCTGTCTTTTTACATTTTTCTACTTCTTTGCTTTGGGACAACTCCTGACCTGTCTGCCTCTACCTGGAGAAGTAGGCTTGTGCCGCTCTACTTGGCACCTTTCCTTCACCAGCTCCTTTGACAGCCTAGGACTGTAATTTGCTGTAATCCATACTTGCCTTACTCTTGAGTTCTGGGGCTACAGGTGTATGAAATGTTTGCCACCAAGCCTGTATTAATTTCTGCCTTTTAATGACTTATGATACAGTTTCTAATCAGGTTACAGATGACCTCTTATTTGCCAGGTACAGAGATTTTTTTTTTTAAAGACTTGTTTTACTTTTTGAATTTTAAAAAAATTTATGTGCGTGAGTGTTTTGCCTGCATGTATGTCTGTGCACCACTTGCATGCCTGATGTCCTTGAAGGCCAGACATTTTCAGATTCTGTGGAATTGGAGTTTTGGAGTTACAGATGGTTGTGAGCTGCTTTTTGGGTGCTGGGAATCAAACCCAGGTTCTCTGGAAAAATAGCCAGTTTGGTTGTTGGGTTTTTTTTTTGTTTTGTTTTGTTTTTTGTTTTACTTTATTTTCTGTTAATGGTTTTTTCACCTGCATGTATATCTGTGCACCTCATGCATGCAGTGTCCACAAAGGCCACCAGAAGGCATTAGAGTCTCCTGGAACTGGAATCACATATGCTTGTGAGTCATCATGTGAGTGCGGGAACCAGATCTCTGTCCTGAAAGAGCAACCTCTGAGCCATCTCTCCAGCCCCAGTTGTTTAATTTTTTTTGTTAGATTTAACAGTGGCAGTTATCCTGATATATTTAACCTTGTTTTATTTACTTATTTATTTCATATGTATAGGTATTTTGCCTACATATATATCTCCATCATGGATGCCTGGTGCCCACGGAGGCCAGATAAAGGCATTGGATTCTCTCTGGAGTTACAGACAGTTGTGAACCACCATGTGGGTGCTGGGAATCTGGTCCAAGCCATCATTTTAGCCCATAAGTCATACTCTTTTTAGGTGTTTAATGCTTACCTTCCAGAGTGTTTCTTTTCTGTACTCTCACAGTATTCGTGTTTGTCAGACTGTATTGTGGCATTGTAGTTATTTACCTAACTGACCTGCGTAGATTAGCTCCTTAATTTACAGGTATTACATCCATCTTTGGGTCACATCACCCAGTAACTGGTGTAAGTGAGGAATTGAGTAAAGTTATTAGTTGTGAGTGAATAAGTTAAATTAAAATAATTTATTATTTGCTACTTTTCTGTTGATTTGACTAGATGACAGAGCACGTAGGTCTCCACGAAAACTTCCTACTTCGTTAAAAAAAGGAGAAAGGAAATGGGCTCCTCCAAAATTTCTGCCTCACAAATACGATGTGAAGCTACAAAATGAAGATAAGGTTGGTTAAACCTCTTACATTAATAGATTTTAAGAAAATATACGGGTGGTTTTCTTGGAGAAAATGTGCTAAGGAAAAATGAAAGAAATGTCTTCATTACAAAAATTTGGAGTGTTTTCTGACTTTTTTCTTCAGAAGGTAGTATGCCTTTTCTTCATAGGAAATAGTGGATTGAAGAATAACTTTGCATTTGAGAATCTCAATTTGAAAATGAACCGTTGCTCTTAGTCATGTCGTTAATTATAACGTAAAAGAGTTAATTATAACGTAAATGAAGTTACAAGACAACTCCCGTAGTTAGTGCTTTTATAAGGGATCCTGTAAGACTTCAAGCTAATAAGCTGTTATAGTCAGTATCCTTAACATCATTTATACAACTTTTTACTTTTTAAAAAAAAAAAAAAAAACTTTCTTACTCAGGTCCTGGATATTGAACTCAGGGCCTTGCTATGGTAGGCAAATATTCTTTACTGAGTTACATCCCCAGTCTTTTTCTTGAGATATGTGTTTGACTTTTACATTTTTAATTTTTCTTGTGGGACTAAGGTTCAATCCCAGCTCTTCCTGGAGTTAGACAAGTACTATCACTGGGCTATTTCCAGTCTTGCTTTTTTATATTCTTTAATATGTTGAGAGTCCGGATGTATTTACAAACAAGAATTTATTTCTTAGCTTTTATCCTAGTAATTGTGAGATGGAAGCAGGAAGATCAGGAGTTGAAGGTCATTCTTTGTCGCACAGTGAGTTTGAGGGCAGCCTGGGCTCGTGAGACCTTGTGTCAAAAAACCAGTTTTAAGTTGTAAATAGAATATATCGTTTCATTGATTATATCTTAGATTTAAGAAATACTGGTATATTCTTTCTGGTGTTTCTACATATACATGAATAAATTTTAAGCTTAATTGGAAAGAGGACTAGGATGTTGAAAATAATTGTGTTTGTTTTCATAGATAATATTTTTATACAAAAAATCTGCCCGGCCCTGTGTGGTTTAACCCTGGGAAAGATCTTCTATGGCAAGAACTGCCAGCCAATTCTTTTGTTTTTTGCATTGAGACAGAGTCTTGCTGTATAATGTGGCTGCCTTAAACCTGGCTGTGTAATCCAAGTTGGTCTCAAATTTGTAACCATCATTTTGCCTCTGTATCCTGAGTGCTGGGATTACAGGAGTTTGGCATCATGTTTTTTGTTTTTGTTTTTGTTTTGCAGGTTTGAGGGGGGGACTTTTGTATTGTTCTGTTGCTCTCTCCATTGCTTAGAATTTTGACAACTCTTACTATTTTATAGTTGGTGGTCTGAACACATAGCTGGATAGGTAGATTTCTTACTTCTCATTTAGTGATTAGCTAGTTAAAACATGCTGGTGAATCTCATCTACTTCCATTTATTTTCCTAATGATGGTACAAATTGTTCACAAGTCATAATAAGCTCTGGTTATGGGAAGGCAAAGTGTGAACAAAAAATAAATGACCTATCATCCCTCACTTGGAGATGATCATTGGTGAATATGAATTTGGTTATCAGTAGTTAGGACTCAAGTGGCTTTCAAAGGTAAAAAAATAATATAATAAATGTATTTTGTGTATCTTTTCCCTTTCATTTACTTAAGCATCTGTGGTTTCATTAAATTTTCTTAAACTGTAAAGTGAAATGGTAGCATATAAAATAGTCACCGGAGCAGCTTATGAAACATGGAGACTCCTCAGCTCTCCTGCTGGTACTGCCTCTGACTGGAGTTTTCGGTTTGGTGAGGCCCAAACAACTGCTTTTTTTTTTTTCTTTTGTGTGTGTGTGTTTTTGTTTTGTGGCTTGTTTGTTTGTTGTTTGGTTTTTGAGACAGGGTTTCTCTGTGTATCCCTGGCTGTCCTGGAACTCACTCTGTAAATCAGATGGTGCAAATTCAGATATTCACCTGCCTCCCGAGTGCTGGGATTAAAGGTGTGTGTTACTTCCACCACCACCCAGTTTTCTTATGTAATTTTGAGAGAAGATCTGGCTATATGTTTCCTAGGCTAGCCTACAAGCTCACTGTCTTCCTCCCTCAGCCTCTCAGTACTGAGGTTATCTGTATGTACCAACATGAACCCTTGAAGGACGGATCTTTAGGTAATCCTCATCCTCTTTTCCTACTAAAAGACTTTCCATTTTTTTCCTAGGATGAAGCTATAGCTAGAGAAGTTGATGGTGTGGAGTTTGAAAGTGTACTCATTTTAATTGACATTTTTATTGGAATTTTAAGTTGAAATTCTATCTCAAAAATTTGCCGTTTCTAATTTATAGGTGCGCTTACCCCCCACCCTCCCCACCCCAGCACTCCCATGAAAGGCTGTATTTGTTTTTATTGCCTACCTGCTTCTGGCCCCAGTGCTGAGTTCTTTGTTACCTTTTTACCTAGATCATCAGCAATGTGCCAGCAGACAGCTTGATTCGAACAGAGAGGCCACCAAATAAGGAGATTCTTCGGTACTTTATTCGGCATAATGCCTTACGTGCTGGTACTGGTGAAAATGCACCTTGGGTGGTAGAAGATGAATTGGTGAAGAAATATTCCCTGCCTAGCAAATTCAGTGACTTTTTACTTGACCCTTACAAGGTAAGGTCCCTGTTAATGTTGGACACTTAAGTAGAACATTGCTAGATAAGCTTCTTTTTTCTAGTAACTCACAGTAGAATTAGATTTATGGCAGATTTTGAACTCTTCAAGACAAAGTTTCTTTGACTATCCTGGAATTAGTTTGGTAGATCAGGCTGGCCTTAACTCTCAGAGATTCACCTACCTCTGCTTCCTGAATGTTGGAATTAAAATCTTGTGGCACACTGTCCAGATAGAATTTGAACTCTTGTTTGTTTGTTTGAGACAGGGTTTCTCTGTGTAGCTTTGGAGCCTGTCCTGGAACTCTCAGAGATCTGCCTGCTTCTGCCTCCTGAGTACTGGATTAAAGGTGTGAGCCACCAATGCCCACTCAGATTTTGGACTCTTTAACAGTTGATAATTCATTCAGGAGCTGAAGCAGAGACCATGGAGGGAATGATACTTATTGGCTTATTCCCTGTGGCTCCCTTGGCTGCTTTCTTATATAACTCACAGCCATCTGCCCAGCCATGGAGTGGCACCACCCACAGGAAGTTGGGCATCCCCGCATCAATCATCAATCAAGAAAATGCTTTATAGTCTTGCCTGTGTGCAGCTGTTGGAAGCATTTTCTCAATTGAGGTTCCTCTTTCCAGAGGAAATTCTAGCTTAGTTAACAAAACACTAACCAAGATGTTAATATTTTATAAAGGAAAACTGAGCCAAGTGTGGTGATATATGCCTTTAATCCTAGCACTTGGGATGCAGAGGCAGACAGCAGACAGATCTCTGCATTCAAGGACAACCATTGCTAGAACCAAATAAAAGTGGGTGATGAGCCAAGACTTTGGCCTAGTCCCTCCCCCTTATTTATCTATCTATCTACCTATTTATTTATTTATTTATTTTGGTCTCCATTCCTCTTACCTCTGTGTGTGAAGTTATGGGCCCAGTATCAAGCACTACATTAAAACAAAATCTAAAAAACCTTCCCAGGTAACTTACTAAAACTATATAGAGAATGAGGTAAGTTCTATATGAATATTACCCTCAAATTCCTACTTTGTTGTATTGAGTGAATGAGAAGAGTAGGAAAGGTTGGAGTTGTCTCTCGGTGGTAGAATACTTGTCTATTGTGAGAGGATCTGGTTCCATCCCATTTTCAGTGAATTTAAAAAGAGAGAGAGAGAGAGGAGAGAGAGAGAGAGAAAGAGAGACTGGAGCTGTGTTCGTGTGGTAACACCTGACTTTAATCCCAGCACTCAAGAAGTAAGTGAATCTCTGTGAGTTCAACTGTATAGTCTCTCTACAGAGTAAGTTCCAGGACATGCATGTCTACATAGAGAGACCCTGCCTCAAAACAAACAGATATAAAAAGCCCAATGTTGAAGCCTGTGTGGGTCCAACACAGATAATTATCTTCCCTAACTGGACTGGTACGCAGTCGCGAGGAATAATCAGACACAACTTATATGGTCATTAAAGAAGGGCAAGATCTCTCCCGTTTATTCTCCAAACAGTTTATATATCATCCCATAAATTGAGCAGGAAAACACCTTAGGCTGTATCCTAGGTAACCCTGGTGAATGGCCTTTAGTCACGTCTGCATCTACCTGTATGTTAGCTGTCACGTAGGCCATGAATTAGCATATCTATAAGACTTCCTCCAAATTACCAAGAAATAAGCATCAAACATGCTGACCAGTTTCAGCCAACACCTCTCCTCAGGAGATCTACATTTCTAACGAAAGAAAGGAGCAGTACATCCTTGCTATTGTTATGCAGAGACAGCTTGTCTGCAGAGCTACGTGATCAGCTCAGACTGGGCCTATGGCTTTTTTGCCTGGCTGCTACACCATACAGAAATAGGGGCCTACAGCCCAAGCTACTGAAATAAGAATTAGGTATGTGAGTCGGGTGTTAGTGGCTGAGTGGTTAAGAGGGCACTTGCTTCTCATTTAGAGGACCCAACTTTAACATACCACGTCAGGCAGCTCAGAACTAGCTGAGACTTCACATCTACAAATCTGACGCCTTTGACCACTCAGCTCACCTGCACTCGTATATATAATCACATAAACATGCACACTACTGAGATGCCAGGTACTCAATGTTTTCTAAACTGAGTGGTGGTGGCGCACGCCTTTAATCTCAGAACTCAGGAGGCAGAGGTAGGCAGATCTCTGTGAGTTCGAGACCAGCTAGTTCCAGGACAGGCTCCAAAGCTACAGAGAAACCCTGTCTCAGAAAAAAAGGAGAGAGAGAGAGATTGACAATGTTTTCTAATTGGTCTGACTGCTTAGATATACTGCTTTTATTTTATTTATTAAATTCAGTTTCAGATTGAATTGCTGCAGATTATTTCTGTTATTATAGATCACGAAATGTTTTCTTTGACATACTGTCCTAGTGGTACTGTTCTTTGGTGGGAACAAAGTAAAATACTATATACTCTGTTTTTCTTTTGGCCTCTCATGTTTCTGTCATAATTATTTAGCCATGAGAAAGCGCCTTCACCAAAAAATTTTGCTGTTTTTATTCTGGTTTTTCCACACCCCCTCCCCCATTAGTCGTACTGAATTGTGCTGAGTGGAAGATAGGGAGACCCTTAGCACATAAGTGGTTTTATACTTTTTCAGATCCCCCTGAGTCCAGCCATGCCGGCTCCCATTTGGCTGTGACTGCCAGCATGCTCCATGCTGAGATGATCCAGCTACTGAAGGACTGCTCATTCCGGGAGCCGGCCTGTTGGGAGGGGGTTGGGTGAGTTCATTTCTTCATTTTTTAGAAAAGAAATTTTTTTTAATGTGGTACGACTTGATAAATAGTGGCTGGAACTCGTCTCACTTAACTAGCTGTCTGAATTATTTCTTCTTAACAGTGCATATCTAAACAGAAGTGAAAGAAGCTTGCTTTAAATTTGAATTATTTAGAAATAAAATAAAAATAGAGTCATTAAATTGGACATTCTAGTTCTAATGATAGCTATTAAAAGTGCCTATAAAGAAAATCTTTGTAGCTTGATTGGTCCCTCCTTTTTTTTTTTTTTTTTTTTTTTTTTTTTTTGGTTTTGAGACAGGGTTTCTTTGTGCGATAGTCCTGGCTGTCCCATAACTTGCTTTGTAGACGAGACTGGCCTCAAACTCAGAGATTCGCTTGCTTCTGCTTCTGCCTCCCAAATGCTGGGATTAAAAGAGTGCACCACTGCCTGGCCAGTCTCTTTTTCTTTTTAAGACTTTAGGGCATATTCCTGAGCGTCAGCTGGAGCCTTGTTATGTTTATACTGTTGTGCAGTTGTTTGGGCTGCTTGAGCACCAGCCTGAAAGCATCTACTTGTTTTCACTTACTGCTGGGTTTTGCAAGACAGTCTCAGAAATACTCTGCTCTTTGAAGTACTCATAATATTGTCTGTGAATCGAATGTAACCTTGAATAAGATCCATTTTTGCTTATTTCTCTTTAACTTTTTTTTTTTATAGTTTTTCGAGACAGGGTTTCTCTGTTCTCTTTAACATTTTTATATTTAGTTTTGGGAAACTACAACCAGGAAACTCTATATTGGGGGAATGTATCCCAGGAGTCATGATTAGAATTCAAGTTCTTTAAGATGATAAAACCTCTGTCTTGAGGCTATTGGAAAGCAAAACATTCAGTTTTAGTTGGGCACTAAAGCAGCCAGCTAAAAGACATAGTTAATAGTGCTGTTTTTTTTAATTCCATTTTTAGATAGCATCTCATTATGTAGCCGGTCCTGCCTCAGCCTCCTGAGGGGCTGATTGATAGGCATGTGCCAGTGGGCCCTGTAATTCTGTTTGGGCTTTAAAGTTGGGGGGGAGGTTAGTCAATAGCCAGAAGAGTTTGAGTGACCTAGCCTCTCAATTAAGACTGTTCTGCTTTTTGTTTTGTTGTGGTTCTATTGGTTTCTTCTTTAATTCCGTCCTTAATGTTTAATTTTTCTTTCTTAGAGACAGAGTTTTGTGTAGTCCAGGTGATCCTCTTTGAACTGTCCCTCCTCCTTCCCTCCTGAATGCCAGGATAACCGCCATGCTCCACTATGCCTGGCTAAAACTCAGTTGACATTGTTGGACATCTTAGTAATCAGTTTAACCCTTGATAGCTCCCTTACCGCTATCAAGAGCGTCATATTTTTACCTCTTGGTTCTTAGGTTCCTATTACCTTAGCTAATTCCCCTGTGCCCATCTTAGGGGCTCTCAAGCTCATGGTTTGTAGTCTGCATCTGTTCCCTAGCCTGTGTGCGTGCAATCTACTCCCTCAATTTTCTCCAGTTAGCCCTGGCCATTCAAGAATGGGAAGTCTCGCCAGGGAGTGATGGCACACGCCTTTAATCCCAGCACTTGGGAGGTAGAGGCAGGCGGATGGATCTTTGTGAATTCCAGGACAGCCTGGTCTACAGAGCGAGTTCCAGGACAGCCAGAGCTGTTACAGAAAAGAATCCCTGTCTTGACAAATAAGTAAAAACAAAAATGAATGGGAAGTCTCTCAGGTTGTGCTCATGCGTAGCTGCTTCCTAGAGTGAAAGTTCTTACTTGTCATTTTCCTGTTAGCTAAAATGAGCTGCTGTTTATATCTTAACAGTCAACTTCATTATTTTGACTTGTTTTGGGTTTTTTGTTTTGAAACATGATTTCATATAGCCCAGGCTGACCTTGAACTCCTAACCCTCCTGCCCCTGTCTGTGCTGAAATTGCAGGCTTGTACATTTCACACCTTACTTATAAGTACATTTTTTAGAATATTATGATCGGTTACAAATTTCTAATACATATTTAAATAGAAACTCCTGGTGTGACCAGTGGGCCAGGTTCTAGACTCTTAAGTCTATTTGGTTTGTGTTTGAAACTGACACTATAGCATAGTCTGACTGAATATGAGGAAATCCTCCCAATTTCCCAACTGTTAGAATTCCAGGTGTGTGGTGTAGTTCCTCTGCCTGTCCTACCTTTTGTTTCATTTCTGATGTAGTGTCTCATACTGTAGTCCTAGCTGACCTCAGACTCATGCATGACAGTCTTTCAACCTCGGCCTCTGGAGTGCTTGGATTATAGGTGTAAGCAACCATGCCAGAATCCTCTTACCTAATTCTGTGTGAGGGAAATGAGGCATGCACTCCTGAGGAGCCAGAAGAGGCGAGTGTTGTAGTGGGAAGGGTGGACTTGAAGGGCATGTACTGTGAGTGTGGGGCCAGCTCGGGTCTCTTGGTGTGCCGGCGATGGATTTGTTTTTGTTCTAACCATGTTTACGATGAACATGTACAGCCAGGGGCAGAGCAAACTGGGGTTTTCCAAGTAAATACAGAATATGAAGGAAATTGTAGGTTTATGTGAGCTGGATTGTAATGACTGCCTAAAATTAAATTGAGGTGAAGAGTGGAAGCCAGCCATGGTGGTCCATTCTCTGAGTCCCATCTACTGCTCAGGCTTGCTTAGGATCATGGCTTGAGTCCAGAGACCTGAGGCCATCCTGGGCACTATAATGAGATCTTATCCTTTTTATTTATTTGTGGAGTTATTTGTTTGTGTTTTTTTTTTTCAGACAGGGTCTCACTGTGTAGCCCTAGCTGTCCTGAAACTTGTGAATCCTTATGCCTCTCTCCTGAGTGCTAGGATCATAGGTGTGAGCCACCATGCCTGGCACTGACACCACATCTCTTTAAACCAACAGGTTAGGATGTAGAAAATGTGATAAAATGAGTGGATTTATAGTCTTGTGATATTGCAAGATTATAGACTAGGGTGCCAGAGAGAATGAATCAGGGACATTCGAACATGATAAACAGGACTGGCAATAGAGCTCAGTAGGTAAAGATACTTGTGGCCAAGGCCAACCATCTTAATCCAATTCCTGTGACCCACGTGGTGGGAAGAAAGAACCAGCTCCTCTGCATTTTCATCTGACCTCTACACACCCAACTTGGCATGTACATGCCACCCCCCAAAACACAGGATGAATATGAAATGTAATCAGATTTTTAAAGAACTGTATATAAAAGAAATGAGACGTTATAGAGCTTGTAGATGTAGTCATAGAAGTGAGTTTTCTCATGGGAAAAGGCAAGAAAGAGTTTATAAAACCAGGAAACAAGGTCAGGAGAGTTCTTTATCTGAACAGTGTTATCTATCGTTCGGCATTGTTATGTTTTCACAGTAACATATGCCTCTGGGTTGAGACAAATGATTTAGGTAGTATATTCTACTTAAAGCACAAACTATTGAAGCTGAAACATAAAATCAAAGGATGAAGATATAACTGTTTCAAGAACAGGACTACTCCCTCCAACACCCCATTTTCAGGGATGGAATACAGGCTCTTACATGTTAAGCAAGTGAGCCACACTGAATCACACCCCAGCCCCTTACTGGGGGATTCTAGGCAGGTGCTCTACCACTGAGCCACACTCCAGCCCCTCACTGGGGGATTCTAGGTAGGGGCTCTACCATTGAATCATGTCCCCAGGTTGAGAGTCCTATTTTGTTTTTTAGTTCTCTAATATATTACATCTGACTTCAGTTTCCTCTCCTCTTCTCTGCCCAGTGCCTCTCCTCTCCCAGAGTAGTACTTCTTAAAGTCTTGAGATGCTGCTGTTTTCTGGGTCATTTATTACTAATCTGAGGTTCATGGATAGATTTTGGAGATTGTATGCATAGTTTTTGTGTATTGTTACAGCTGGAGAAAGTATTCATAGATTTTATTAAAATCTTTGAGAACCACTAATGCATATGTAAACAAAGAGCTAGTTGTGTAAAGCATCTGATGTCAAAGGATGATGGGCTTTTGTTGCAAAGCTGAAGGTGGATCCCAATTCCTCACATAAACTAGGAAAGCATCCTATCACTGAACTGTACAGCTTCCCAATGTACATTTTGAGTGATGGGGAACATTGAGACAGAATCTGATGTGAGTTAGGCTGGCCTCATACTTGGTATGTAACAGACAGACCTCAAACTTCTGATTCTCTTGCTTCCACTGCCTACATTTGGGATTATAGATATGACTCCATGACATCAGCAGAGTATAGTTTTGTTTTGAGACATGGTGTCACTGTGGTGTAGCCCTGGATGTGGAGCTTCTTCCGTGTATGGTGGGGAAGTGCACCACTACAGTGCTTAGATGTTGCTTGCTGCACTTAGATTTTTAACAGTAATTTTGTTCCTGTTCTTAAATTTTAGTACATGACTCTCAATCCCTCTACCAAGAGGAGGAATAATGGATCTCCAGACAGGAAGCCCTCAAAGAAACCTAAAAGAGACAATTCTTCTCTAAGTTCCCCACTAAACCCTAAGCTATGGTGTCATGTGCACTTGGAGAAGTCGTTAAATGGCCCACCACTGAAAGTGAAGAACTCAAAGAATTCCAAGTCTCCAGAAGAGCATTTGGAAGAGGTGATGAAAATTATGTCCCCCAACAAACTACACAGCTTTCACATTCCTAAGAAAGGCCCATCCACCAAGAAGCCAGGGAAGCACAGCGACAAACCTTTGAAGGCCAGGGGCAGAGGCAAAGGCATCTTGAATGGACAGAAGTCCACAGGCAGTTCCAAATCACCCAGCAAGTGTGTGAAGACTCCCAAGACCAAAATGAAACAGATGACTTTGTTGGATATGGCCAAAGGGACCCAGAAGATGACTCGAGCCCCCCGGAGTTCTGGGGGTGTACCAAGGTCCTCGGGTAAACCTCATAAACACCTGCCTCCTGCTGCCCTGCATCTGATTGCCTATTACAAAGAAAATAAAGACAAAGAGGACAAGAAGAGTGCCCTGTCCTGCGTTATCTCCAAAACAGCACGTATCCTCTCCAATGAAGATAGAGCCCGTCTTCCAGAAGAGCTACGGACTCTTGTGCAGAAACGCTATGAGCTCCTGGAACATAAAAAGAGGTGGGCCTCTATGTCTGAAGAGCAACGAAAGGAATATTTGAAAAAGAAACGGCAGGAGCTAAAAGAGAGGTTGCGGGAAAAAGCCAAGGAACGGAGAGAGAAAGAAATGCTGGAGAAGTTAGAAAAGCAGAAACGGTATGAGGACCAGGAGTTAGGCGGCAGAAACCTCCCAACATTCAGGCTGGTAGATACTCCTGAAGGGCTGCCCAACACGCTTTTTGGAGATGTAGCCCTGGTGGTGGAGTTCCTGAGCTGTTACTCTGGGTTGCTCTTGCCTGATGCTCAGTACCCCATCACTGCTGTGTCCCTAATGGAAGCCTTGAGTGCAGATAAAGGTGGGTTTTTGTACTTGAACAGAGTGCTGGTCATTCTGCTGCAGACCTTACTTCAGGATGAAATTGCCGAAGACTATGGAGAACTGGGGATGAAGCTGTCAGAAATCCCCCTCACTTTGCATTCTGTCTCAGAGCTGGTTCGGCTTTGCTTGCGCAGGTGTGATGTCCAGGAGGACAGTGAGGGCTCAGAAACAGATGACAATAAAGATTCCTCACCATTTGAGGACAGTGAGGTGCAAGATGAGTTCCTCGAGAAGCTTGAGACCTCAGAATTCTTTGAGCTGACATCAGAAGAGAAGCTACGGATATTGACAGCTCTCTGCCACCGGATCCTCATGACATACTCTGTCCAAGACCACATGGAGACAAGACAGCAGATGTCTGCAGAGTTGTGGAAGGAGCGTCTCGCTGTGCTGAAGGAGGAGAATGATAAGAAGAGAGCAGAGAAACAAAGGAGGAAAGAGATGGAAGCCAGAAATAAAGAAAATGGCAAAGAGGAGAATGGGCTAGGCAAAATGGACAGGAAAAAAGAAATTGTGAAGGTTGAGCATCAAGTCGAAATGGAAGCAGATGACATGATCAGTGCTGTCAAAAGCAGAAGGCTGCTTAGCATGCAAGCTAAGAGGAAGCGGGAAATCCAGGAGAGAGAAACAAAAGGTAAAATTTGTACTGAGAGGTTTAGAAAAGCCCTTTTGTGGGTAGGAGAACAGAAAGTACTAGAATAATGGTAGGGTATCTGTCACAACTATTAACTTATTCTGTGTACAGTAACCTAGCACTCCATAAGATATTCTTGTTTTCTCATAATTTTGAGACAAACTCTTATTACCTTAGGCTTTCCTGAAACTTATTCTCTGGCTTAAGTTGGCCTTACATCCATCCTCCTGTCTCAACATCCAGAACATTAGGATTATTGGCATGAGCCTCTGTGCTTAGCTGAGTGTCTTTGTACAGTTGGATATAATTGCGTGCGTGCGTGTGCTTGTTGCACACTGGAAAAATAGCTCAGCAGTTAAGAGCTCTGGCTATTTTTCCAGAGAACCTTCATTCAATTTCCAGCACCCACATGGAGGCTCACAACTAATTCCAGAGGATCCAACAACCCCCCCACAGTCATGCAAGTGGTACATAGACATACATGCAGCCAAAACACTCAAAATAGTCATCAAATAAATAAGTAATTGGGGGAGGGTCTAGATATGGTAATAAACCATGTAATAATAACCATACATAAATAATATTTTGCGGTAAGTTGACCTTGAACTCAAGGAAATCCCTCTGCCCTGGCATTGCATATGTGCACAAGAGCATTTTTTTGAGATTCATCTGTGTTGTAGCATGTAACACAGTACATTACTTAGAAGAAGCCAGGGCATAAAAGACAATCCCAGAAGGAACCTTGAAAGTCATACCTTGTTCTTAGCCCCTAACAACTACTGATCTCTAGATTTATGTATTCTCTGCATTTCATTTAAATATGTGCCTGTGAAAGAACTCGGTGCCAGTTGCTGCCATAATTAGAACCTGAGCTTGCAAAATTCTGGGACTGACATGGCAGAAGGAGAGAACTAACTCCCACAGGTTGTTCTCTGACCTTCACACAACACAGGATAAATTTATTTATTTATTTGGTAGGGTTTCCCTGTGTAACCCTAGCTGTCCTGGACCTAGCTCTGTAGATCAGGCCGGCCTTGAACTCACCAGAAGATGATCTGGCTGCCTCTTCCTCCAAGTGCTGGGATTAAAGAAAATAAAACTAGTGTGGTGGTAGTGTAGCATGCCTTTGAACTCGGTGGTTGGGGGCAGAGTCAAGCAGATCTCTAAATTTGAGACCAACTTGATCTACATATTGAGTTCCAGGATAGCTAGAGCTACATAGAGAATCCCTGTCTGGAGAAACCAAATAAGGGGGTGGGAGAAGTAGGCACAGTTGCATACATGTTTAATTTCCACTCTCAAGAATAAGATCTCCAAGAGTTCAGACCAACCAGGGGTACGTAGTGAGGTCCTGTCTGAAAAACTGAAAAGGCATGAGCTTTCTGATTAGCTAATTGTTAGTTGGTACAATATTGTGTGTGTGTTGTTTGGATTTGACTGCTTGGCAAACACTAGCACTGTACTACACTCTTAGTTCTACAATAACTACTGCATCCCTTTCCCTGTCTTTACTTTCTTGATTTTATTTTTTCTTCTATCAGTCATGTTAAGGCAACAGCTATGATGGCACATACCTTTAATCCTAGGAGGCAGAGGCAGATAGACTTCTGAGTGTAAAGGCCAACCTGGTCTATATAGCAAGTTTCAGGCCAGCTAAAGCAACATACATACATATTAAAGACAGATTGCTGTCAGGTTCTTTTTGCTCAAAATATTTCTTTTGGCAATGTTCGGGGATGTGGGTTGGTTTAGGAGCTCCCTCTATAGACCAGGATAGCCTTGCTCACAGAGTTCACTTACCTCCTCTGGGTGTAAAGGCATATGCCACCACGTTCAGCTTGACTGAAATATTTTCTTCTTAATTCATCCCCGTCTTTTTAGGGATCCTATGGCAATGAGGGGTGTAACCTTGTGAAGATGTAAGGATTATAGGAGGATCATAGATGAGAGTTCAACTTTAGATGGCAAAAGAAGAAAGGAAGGTCCAGTAAACATATACTTCATACAGGCATTTCTTGGTTTCTAATCTTTACCAGTGAGATTGGAACGGGAAGCTGAAGAGGAACGAATGCGGAAACACAAGGCGGCTGCTGAGAAGGCTTTCCAGGAAGGGATTGCCAAGGCGAAACTTGTACTTCGCAGGACGCCTATTGGTACAGACCGCAACCATAACAGGTAAGTTACTTGACCTATTTCTGTGTCTTGTGAGTGGTCATAGTTGTTACTAGTTAGCGAGCTAAGGTGCTAGAAATGAACTGTTCTGCTCAGTTTTCCACTTCTGTTTCTGGGTATGATTATTTATTGTTCCTTTATTTCCTATTACTGGTGCCAGATGCTAGCTTTACAAAGTTAGGTAAGACAATTTTCTAGGCTCATTGGTAGCTTATGGCAGAGCTCTTGCATAAGCCTTGGGTTCTATGCCCAGTGCTGTGGAATTAAAAAAAAAAAAAATCTGCTCTGGCCCTTGAAGGTAGCATAGATAGGAAATTTAAACAGGCAAATGTACTGTAATCCTAATACTTCTTTTAAAATGGTTTGATATTTTGGGGCTGCAGAAATGGTTCAGTGATTAAAGCACTTACTGGATTTGGATCTCAGCCCCCACATGGTATCTCAGGACCATTTGAAACTCTAGTTCCAGGGGATTTGACACCCTCTCTTATAGTATGAGGAGCAGGCGGGTTGTATCCTGCCACCTGGCTAGCTTATACCCGAAATAATTATAGAGAAACTATTCATTTAAACACTGCCTGGCAGTTTTAATTAGCTCTAGCTTCTTACTGGCTAACTCTCACATCTTTTTTTTTTAATATTTATTTATTTATTTATTATGTATACAATATTCTGTCTGTGTGTATGCCTTCAGGCCAGAAGAGGGCACCAGACCCCATTACAGATGGTTGTGAGCCACCATGTGATTGCTGGGAATTGAACTCAGGGCCTTTAGAAGAACAGGCAATGCTCTTAACCTCTGAGCCATCTCTCCAGCCCCTAACTCTCACATCTTAATTAACCCATTTCTATTAATGTGTGCCACCAAATGGACTGTGGCTTACTGGCATGAGCCTAACCAGTGTCCATCTTGAGCAGGAGAATCATGATGTCTGCCTCACTTCCCTTCTTCCCAGCATTCTGTTCTGTCTACTCCGCCCACCTAAGGGCTACCCAATCAAAAGGCCAAGGCAGTTTTCTTTATTCAACCAATGAAAGCCACACATAGAAAGAAGAACCTCCTATACCATTTCCCCTTTTTCTGTTTAAACAAAAAAGAAAGGCTTTCACTTTAACATAGTAAAAGTACATATAACGAAACAGTTATTAAGCAAGAATTACAGTTACAATATTTATATCTATTTTATCTTTTATCATAATAAAGGAAAACTATATCTATTCTTCAACTCCATCAAAGACTCCATAAGGATATATTACCTAAGTAAACAGGAAGTATTGTAAGCAACTTCCAAAACTCTAGAAATCACAGAGACATCTTGCTGCCTGGACAGTCACCCAAAGATCTTTTGTACCATTGGGACATCCATCTTCAGTCTACGGGCCCATAGTATCTAGCAGACATTTCCATAAAGCAGGAAATTTCAAAGACAGTTCAGTCACTTTCTTCTATATCCTGCAGAATGTCTTGCAGACTCTTTCATGAATCAGGAACATCTCACCTTTAGGCAAGTTCAGCTGTCCTCTCTCTGCGGGTTCTTTGTGTCCAGTTAAGCAGTCCAGGCAAGAGCAGTTTCTTGCCCAGATGGCTAACCAACTCCATAAGGAGCCTCTTCGATGCCCATCTTCCTCTTGAAGTAGATTGGTGCTGCCAGGAGCAGACGTGTCTCATTGTCATGAAAAGCCCTAAGTTACTAAAACATTTTAAAAGCCATATTCTGTAGTCTTTGAAAGATATGAAGAATACCTATCTGAAATATATCTATGCACATCTAGAAAATCTAACTAACATGACTACAAACTTGACTATTATAGATGATTATCCATTAACTTACTAACTATACATTACATTTTTTAAATGAACTACACAATCACAATACCTTAATCATGATCAGAAATATACATATAACAAAACTGACCTTAAATTAGTATCAGTAAATCATGATTCATATCAGTGCAAGTTATTCATATCTATATCATATCCCCCTTTAAATGTAAAAGAACATTTATAAACAATATTTGGGAATATGGATGTAGTTATTTCTCTCCAAACTGCTTCGTGCTATATGGGGGCGCTGTTAATTAGGTCTTTCATGGTATATCCTGTTTGCTAGGTTCCTCTGAGTCAGCAGTTAAGCAAAATAATTTTTTGAGGGTGTTCACAGCAACCTTTCAGGAGAGCGCAGTCTATTATACCATATTGGTCTAGAAGCAATTCTCATCTTCTGTGAAAACAAAAGAAAAACCTTTTTTCCAAAGCATCATATCCTTAGACCCAAATTTTAAAGTCAAGATACCTTTAGAACATATATGCTGGTTTAGCTTAGCAGACCACACAATGAAATGTATTTAGCTCCTTCATAGTCAAAAAATTTAAAGAAAACACAATAATATACAGAATCTAGGCTTTCTCCGAATTTTCCATTTTTACGTGGCTTATTTTCCTTCTTTTAATCTATGACTATCTGTACTCTCTTTAAAGACTTTACCCTTTTTTTAAGCATTAACTTTACTTTATGATTTTTTAATGCTCTTTTTCTTCTCTCTCCCAAACCTACGTATGTCTATCTAACACTGTGACCCATTTAGAGGTCTTTTGTGTCTGAATCTTTCCTGTTGTGAATCTGTAATTCTTTACTATCCAGGAGCACTTCTTAAAAACTCAAGATGCGCCATGTAGGGGTAATAATGGTACTGCCTGTTTTCTGCCCAGTCTAAACCTTAACTACACTGTTATTATGATAATTATGATAGCTCCTGCCTGAGATCAGCACAGTTCAGCATGGCGGAGCCGGAGCCACTCCTGCCTCAGAGCATTTGGTGCCCCTGAGCCACACGCAGTTCCAGGCATGCAGCAGTCCACATTGCCATCAAGCTCTCTGATCCCAGCGGGTTACCAGTCCTACATATGTACATGAAGGCAAAACCCTGACACAAATAAAGTCATTTTGTTGTTGTTTTGTTTGTTTGTTTTAGAGACAGGGTTTCTCTATAGCTTTGGAGTCTGTCCTGGAAGTAGCTCTTGTAGAGCAGGCTGGCCTTGAACTCAGATACCCTTCTGCCTCTGCCTCCTGAGTTCTGGGATTAAAGGCATGCGCCACCACCGCCCGGCCATAAAGTCATTTTAAAGTATTTTAAATTCATGCATTGTGTGGAACCTAAAAATACAGAATAGATGTTACAGGAATGACACAGGCATTAGATGAGTTCCAAATGCCAAGGCATCTTTGTTATGTTTTTTTCTTTATAACTTCTCTGTGTCAGATTGTGAAGAAGGTGCTGTCAGCTGTATTTCGTGCTCCTCCACCTTGCTAGGCAGCCACTCCAGGAGTAAAGTGACCCAGCCTTCTCTCTGCCCACTGTCTCACTTGTCATGGATGTTACTAAGTCCTGGTTGTACTTTGTAGATACTGGCTCTTCTCAAATGAAGTCCCAGGATTATTCATTGAAAAGGGCTGGGTGCATAACAGCATTGACTACCGGTTTAAGCATCACCGCAAAGACCACAACAGTTCACCTGATGAGGATTACTGTCCCCGCAGTAAGTATATCGTCATCCTTTCACGGGTGGGAGGTGTTTATGTCTAGAATCCATTGAGTAAGTCTGAAGTATGGAGCAGCACAAAGCGCTGTGGAGTTCTAGTTTTCGTTTGTCTTCCTGGGAGCTGTGGCCACACCATAGCTTAAGAAAGAGCACGGCATGTTGCTGTCATGGGAAAAGATTTAAATTTCAACTGCTGTTTCTGTTGAATGTATTTTGACCTTCCTCTTTTATAAAGATGAAACGTTTCTGTTTGAAACAGTGTCTTGCTCTATAGTTCAGGCTGTCCTAGAACTATCAAGCCTCTGACCTCAGCTTCTTGAGTGCCAGGATTGCAGGTGTGACCTTCATTCAGGCTTCCTGATATTTTAAGTAGGGACTGTCTATGGTTTTAACTAACTCATGTAGGCCTGCCTTTCCTCTGTCACCTGTCCCAGGCACATGTTTTCTTTATTACCACCCTAGCTTCTGGCTCAGCTTGGTGAAGATGAGCTTGTAGAGAGCCTAGTTCCTCGCAAAATGAGAGAAGAGGTGATGCACATGGATATAGATTTTACAGAAATAGTTTTCATATTTTGTACCTTAGAAGTATCTGTAGAGATGTCAAACCTGGAATTGAGGTAGGAGTCTAAGGAATCAGGTATATGCCCTCGTTCTCTGCTTTTTAAAATTAATTATTGTTTTGTGTAAAGCAAATTAGGTGTGCTGGGGGGTTGACAGCGAAAAAAAAAAAAAAAAGAAGACAAGGTCCTGGATGTCACTTCACTATAATCCTAGTAAGGAGAAAATAGACAATATTTAATTTTAATTAAGTGGCTGCTCATTGTGAAGGTAATCTCAGCACTTAGGTAGGAAGGTTGTTAATTTGAGACAACATGGGCTGCATGGTGAGAACCTGTCTAAAACCTGTGGGTGGGTGCAGAAGGTTTGCCGAGACTGAGGTCCAAAAACATGAATCTATAGTTATTGTTCCTTGGTAGGCTGAAACAGAGGCATAGCTTGAACTCAGAAGTTGAACAGGACAACCATCAAGCAGGAGACCACCCCCTGCTTGGAACCTCAATAACTAAGATGGTTTTGAAGTTTTTTCTTTTTTAAATATTTATTTATTTATTTATTTTATTATGTGTATAGCATTCCTTCCATGTGTGCCTATAAACCAGAAGGGGGCGCCAGGTCTCGTTATAGATGGCTGTAAGCCACCATGTGGTTGCTGGGAATTGAACTCAGGACCTCTGGAAGAGCAGTCAGTGCTCTTAACCTCTGAGCCATCTCTCCAGCCCCTGAAGTTTTTTTTTAAGATTTTACAAGTGTGAGCTGGGCGATGGTGGCTCACGCCTTTAATCCCAGCACTCGGAGGCAGAGAGGCAGAGGTAGGCGGATCTCTGTGAGTTCGAGACCAGCCTGGTCAACAGAGCTAGTTCCAGGACAGGCTCCAAAGCCACAGAGAAACCCTGTCTTGAAAAACCAAAAAAAAAAAAAATTTTTTTTTTTTACAAGTGTGCCAGGCAGTGGTGGCCCATGCCTTTAATCCCCAGCACTCCAGAGGCAGAGGCAGAGTCTGTGAGTTGAGGCCAGCCTTGTCTACACAAGTTGCAAGACAGCCAGGACTACACAGAGAAACCCTCTCTTGAAAAACTAAAGAACAAAACAGGTGTATGTTGCTGCAGCTATGTGTGTTTTGTTTGCGTGTATGTGCAAAGTGGTGCCATGTTCATTTGGTGCTGGTGGAAGTCAGAAGAGGGCATCAAGATTCTCTGGAACTAGAGTTACAGATATGTTAGCTTCCTTGTCGGTTCTGGAATTTAAATCCTGGTCTTATGGAAAGGCAGCCAGTGCTCTTAGCCCCTAAGCCCTGATTTTGGACTCTCCTTGTAGCCTAGGACAACCTTGAACTCTTAGTTCTCCTGCCTCTATCTCTCAAGTTTCTGGGGTTACAGGCATGTAACATCTTGCCTGATTTTTATTCCCTTTTTGAAATAAAAATGCATTTTTAGAAAATTGACGGATGGGCATGGATTTTTACTTGATTTTTTTTTATTTTTTAATGTCTGTGACTATTTGGCCTATGTGTGTCTGTGCACCACATGTGCACAGGCCTGGTATCCTCTGAGGCCCATGCACTTGTGAGCAACCCTGTCTCCAATAAATAAATGAATATATAGGTGATTTAGAAGCATTTGAAGAGTCACTGATAATATTTTTCATCTGAATGCTGGCTGTGAAGTATATTAATTGATAAAATAAATGATAAGTATAATTTGCATAACTTATATTCTTTCTTCAATGTTTATATGTGTTGAATATGTTCAAAAGGGAAAACTCAGAAGATGCTTTTTTTTTTGTAGTTAAAAGATTCTTTGGACCTTAATAGGAAGTTTGACAGCATTTCCACCTCTGCCCACTAGATGTCAGTAGCCACGTCCAAATGTCTTCAATGCCTGCACAAATCCTCTGGCTGGTACCTCCCCTCCCTGTTAAGAGCCATTGGGTTATAATAACCTAATGAAGTTTGCTTCTCAAATACTGTATTTCTCCAAGAAGTTACTTTTATTCTAAAGTAGTGCTTGATTTTAGAAACACTCCTAATACAAACTTAGTATTCACAGACATTTATTAATAAGAAAACCAGACTGGGTGATGGTAGTGCATGCCTTTAATCCCAGCACTCAGGAGGTAGAGGCAGGTGGATCTGAGAGTTTGAGGCCAGTCTGGTCTACAGAGTGAGTTCCAGGACAGGCTCCAAAGCTACATGGAGAAATCCTGCCTTGAGGAAAAAAAAAAAAACAACACTAATTTCTTCATATATACCTTTAAGACTTTTTCATGTTAAATTTTTATATTTATTTTCATTTTTTTAAGACAGGGTTTCTTTGTGTAGCCCTGGTTGTTCTGGAACTAACTCTGTAGATCAGACTGGCCTTGAACTCTCGGAGATCCACCTGCTTCTGCCTCCTGGGCTCTGGGATTAAAGGTGTGTGCCAGCACTGTTGGTTTGTAAATTACTTTAATTATAGATTATATCATCTGCAGAAAATTCTGCTTTTGGTGTACTTTACAAATATATGAGGGACTGGTGAGGAAGTTAAGCTAGAAAACAGTTGGCTGTGAAGTCAGACCCTTCTGGTATGGGGCTGTAATTGTGCTCAGGTCTGCAGGCCTGGTGGCAGGCACCTCTATGTAGGGCTTATCTTTCCAAGTACTGGAATTAAAGGATGAGCCACCACATCCTGCAAAAAGAACAATTTCTTTGCTTTGATATGAAGTTAGTTAGTCATTTTCATCTTAGCTTTTTTTTTTTTTTTGTCTGTATGTAACTTAGGCTGTCTTGGAACTTACTCTGTAGACCAGGCTGGCCTCGAACACACAGAGCTGCACCTTCTTCTACCTCTGAGTGCTGGGATTAAAGCCGTGCGCCCCTACTGCCTTGAACAATTCAGTTTGTTTAAGGTTTAAACTGTGCAGCTATTTACCTGTAGAGAAGAAGTATAGCTGCTCTCTTTATAACAGAGTTGTATCTTAAAATACCATTAAAAACTTAATGAACTATGTATTGAGATTGCATGTAATCCACCTACCCTACCAGATGTGTAGTTTAGCCCCGTGGTTGCTCTTTGTAGTGTAGAGTGCCAGGCACTACTGTCTACTCTGGCAGAGGCACGGCTGTCTACAATGCCAGCCTTAGAAAAGCCTTGAAAATAGTTTGTAATAGAAGTATTACTACAAAACGAGCTGGGGACCCTGCATACTACATATATGATATTAATATCTACTATTTTAAAGCATTTTGCTTTGGGGGACTTTGTTTGTTTGGTTTTAACAAGCAGATATTTTATCAAGGTTTAGAATTTCATTTTTCCTCATAATACAGCGTTGCGTATTATGTAATGGTCTTGTATAACATTATGAATACTCATGAATCTGAGAATAGGAGTGTTTCAGGTAGTTCTTAAATTTTATTAACTAAACTTTAACTATTTAGTAAATATAAACATGTTCAGTGATTAATATGTTGCATCTATATATTTTGGGCTGGGTGTGGAGTTTGCCTAGGTTTTTTAATAAGGAGTTGGGTTTTTTAATGTATTAAACTTAACGTTTGTGTTTTCCTTAGATAAGAAAGCAAGTCTAGGCAAAAATGCCAGTATGAATGCACACCATGCATCAGCACTAGAAGCTGCTGTGGAGACCACGGTGCCCAAGCAAGGACAGAACCTATGGTAACAGGAACACCCGTTGGCTTGCTCATCCTATTCCTTTCCAGTGTTGATGAAGAAAATACTCAAAAACAGTGACATTAAGAATATTTTGTGTTGCTTAGTTTTTGCACATCAAAGCTTACTGTTGGGCAAGGGTGTGCTCAGGAGACTGCTTGCTTAGCTTGAGTTGCATCCTCCAGCAGCTCATAAACTGTGTATGGTTGTATATTCATATAATCTCAGCACTCAGGAGATCTTAGCAGGAGGATCAGGAATTTAAGGCCAGCCTGGGCTACATTGAGACCCTGTCTCAAAAGAAAAAAATCAAAAAACCTCACTGTTTTAAAACCAGATGTGATCTTTTGGTAGCCAGCTATTTTTCTCAAAGTTTAGGATTTGATTTTCTCTTTTCCAAAAACAGTTTGATGGGGGGGGGGGGGAGGCTTATTTTACCTTATAGGTTACAGTCCATCCTCCAGGGAAGCCAGGGCAGGAGCTTGTGGCAGGAGTCACAGAAGGATAATGTTTACTGGTTGCTCCTAGCTTCACTTTGAGCTGCCTTTCTTTCCACCTGCATTGGGATGGTACTGTTCACAGTGGGCTGGCTCCTCTTATATCAATTAGCAATCAAGAAAATGCCACACAGACATGTCCACATGCCTATCTGATGGAAGCAATTCCTCAACTGAGGGTCCTTTTTCCCTGTTGTGTCCAATTGACAACCTAGATTAGCTAACATACCCCTTTATAATACAATTTTGTGTATTTTGAGCTGGATTCACTGCTGATTCTTTTGGGGGGGGCACAGTTTTGAGACAGAGTTTCTCGGTAGCTTTGGGACCTGTCCTGGAACTTGCTCTATAGTCCAGGCTAGCCTAGAACTCACAGAGATCTGCCTGCCTCTACCTACCATGTGCTGGAATTAAAAGCATGTGCCACCACCGCCTGACTCACCCCTTATTCTTGAGACACAGAGTCTTACACTATTATAGCTCAGGCCAGTCTGGAACTCAACTCTGTAACTCAGGCTAGCATTGAGCTCACTCTACCTGCTGTAGCAAGAATCCCAAATGCTAGGATTACAGGCATGCACCAAGTCTGTTGTACAGTGTACATCTTATGTAGCATCTTGTTTTGGTTCATAAATATGAAGTATTTTGATTTGGTGATTGATTATACTTTAAAAACCATGTATAAAGTAAAATTAAGTTGAGGCTGGAGAGATGGCTCGGAGGGTAAGAGCACTGACTACTCTTCCAGAGGTTCTGAGTTCAATTCCCAGCAACCACTTGGTGACTCACAACCATCTGTAATGAGATCTGGTGCCCTCTTATGGCATGTACATGCCAGCAGAACATTTTATGCATATAAATAAATAAATTTTTTTAAAATATTTATTTTATTATGCATACAATATTCTCTCTGTGTGCATGTCTGCAGGCCAGAAGAGGGCACCAGACCTCTTTACAGATGGTTGTGAGCCACCATGTGGTTGCTGGGAATTGAACTCAGGACCTTTGGAAGAACAGGCAATGCTCTTAACCACTGAGCCATCTCTCCAGCCCCCTAAATAAATAAAATTTTTTTTAAAGATTTATTTTATTAATTATGTATACAGCATTCTGCCTGCAGGTACACCTGCAGGCCAGAAGAGGGCACCAGGTATCATTACAGATGGTTGTGAGCCACCATGTGGTTGCTGGGAATTGAACTCAGGACTCTGGAAGAGCAGTCAGTGCTCTTAACCTCTGAGCCATCTCTCCAGCCCCAATAAATAAAATTTTAAGACACATACAGTCATTAAGTAAATTTACTCAGTTGAAAATAATTTTTAAATACTGTTGGTCTCTGTACAGTTCTGCTTTAGGCAAAGAACTAGATTTTGAGAAGGTCTTTGCTACTTTTGATTGCATAAAATATGTTTGATTGCATAAAATATCTATATCTTTAGCATTTTTAGTCTGAGATATAAAATTTACTTTTTGAAGTTGTATGGGGCATGTTTTCTACTGCCTTTATAAAGTCTGTCTCTGGTAGTGATGGCACACGCTTTTAATCCTAGCACATAAGAGGTAGAGGCGGGGAGTTTGAGGCTAGTCTGGTCTACAGAGCAAATTCCAGGACAGCTATGGCTATACAGGGAAACCTTAGCTCAGAAAAAAAGAACAGATTTCTGTATTGTATCAGGAGACCTTGGCTCCTCCCATAACTGAAAATAAAGTTAACATTAGGCCTCATGGGAATAGTAAATGGTAGGCTTAGATTGAAAACAGTCTAAAATTCTGCATGTCACACTCACTGTTAGCCTGAGACTACATATACTGTTTGATTTTAATTGTTTTTCCAACTTGTAAGGTTTGTTTTGCTTCTACAGGTTCTTATGTGATAGTCAGAAGGAACTGGATGAACTGCTAAATTGCCTTCATCCTCAGGGAATAAGAGAAAGTCAGCTTAAAGAGAGACTGGAGAAAAGGTAAGGGTTTCTTCTTGTTGCTCACACATCTTCTAAGTGTAAACGTCAGTATCTGAGCAATGTAGTTTTGAAATAAGTTCCTATGTAGACCAGACTGACTTCCAACTCAGAGAGATCTGCCTACCTCTGCCTCTCTAGTACTGGGACTAAAGGTGCGCGTCATGATACCCAACCAGATGTTTTTTGGTTTGAGCTTATTTGCATGCTTTCTTTGTTGTGTTTTGTTTGTTCTTTAATTTATTGATATTGTGAATATAAGTGTTTTGTCTGCATGTATGTCTGTACCATGTGTGTGCAGTGTCCTGGAAGGCCAGAAGAGGGTGGGGATCTCCTGGGACTGGAGTTTAAGATGGTTGTGAGCCACTGTGTAGATGTTTGGCAATCAAAACTGGGGTCCTCTGGAAGAGCAACCAGTATTCTTAACAGCTAAGCCATCTCTCCAGCCTCAACTTGCATGCTTGTTTGAAAGAGGGTCTTATATCCAGATTGGCCTTGAATTCACTATAGTCAAGATGACAACTTTTAACCCTCCTGCCTCTACCTTGTATATGATGGTGTAGTTCTCAAGGAGCTTTTGCCTAGAGTGGGGTACAACTATAGCTGGCTTTTTGTTGATAATCTATTAAAGTAAAGTCATAAAAATAAAGTCTATAACTCTGCTGTTGACATAACTTGTAATCTTTTTTAGCATCATGTTTATTTGGAAAAATACACATTTAAGTCATACATGATCCAGGTTAGCATAATTGCTCTTTGACTAGTGTGTGCCTTTCACCAAGCCGTGAGCCATTTTATTTACACAGTATTGGAAAAATGCTTTCTTGTCTGAATTAGCGTTTAAAACTGATCTGTCAGTATTCATGATAGACCAAAAGTTAGAAGACCATAACTGATGTCTATCAGTTGATCTGCAGAAAGACAAAATGTGACATGTCCAAACAGCATATCACGCAGGAGAAGGATTGAAAGCTGGAGAGATGGTTGTACAGAACGTATACAGACAAAAGACTCATAAACATTAAAAAAAAAATAGCTAAGAGTGAAGCACTAAGTGATACCACCTGGGTATCAGAATATTATACTGTGCACTGAAACATTGTACTAAGCAAAAGAAGCCAGACACAAAAAGCTGCATATTGTATGATTCTGTTTGTGTGAAACATTAATATCCAATATATGATAACACAGAAACTGAGTGCCAGTTATAGCTGCTGGGGGATGCAGAAGTACCTCTGAAAGTTTCTCTACTTCTCCTATTTCCTTATTCCAACTCTTGTAGGTACCAAGAAATTACTCACTCCATTTATCTGGCTCGGAAGCCAAATTTGGGTTTAAAATCTTGTGACGGCAATCAGGAACTCTTGAACTTCCTGCGGAGTGATCTTATTGAAGTGGCAACAAGGCTGCAGAAAGGAGGACTTGGCTACATGGAGGGAACATCAGAGTTTGAAGCCCGGGTAAGAGGGCAGGAAAGTACTCATGAAAGCTGCTGCTTTAGAAGCTCATTTTGGAGTCATTTCCTGAGCTGGTGTCTTACCTGTTTGGATTTGTTTTACATATATGTGGGACCAAAAGTTTATGTAACTTTTTTCGTTTTCATCAGGCAGGGTTTACTGTGTGGCCCTGACTAGAACTCACTGTGTAGGATCAGGCTGGCCTCAAACACAGTAATTTAACTCTGCTTTCTGAGTAGTAATAGTATACACCACTATGTCTGATTATTGTTTATATTGGTGTGCCTTGTGTAACCGACAAGATAGCAGTGCACAGTGTTTAAGAATACAATTTTATGTCCAGGCCGTGATGGCAGAAGTGGGCAGATCTCTGAATTCAAGGCCAGCCTGGTCTACATAGCGAGTTCAAGGACAGGCTCCAAAGACTACAGAAAGAAACCCTGTATCAAAGAAATTCACATACACACACAATTTTACGAGCCAAAGGGGTAGCTCAGTGATAAAGAGCACATACTGCCCTTGTAGAGCCCCATGTTCACTTTCCAGCACCCATGTCCGACAGTTCACAGCTTCCTGTACCTCCAGCTCTAGAGACTCAGACACCTTTGACCCCGTTGGGCATTGCACTCTTGTGCATACTCCAAGCAGACACATATGTATAATTAAAAATAAAATAAATCTTCATAAAAAATGTAAGCCAAACATGCCTTTAATACCAGCACTTGCTAGGCAGAGGCAAGCAGGTCTTTTGGAGGCCAGCCTGGTTAAATAGTAAGTTCAAGTCAGCTAGGATTACCTCATGAGACCCTGCAACAAAAAAACTTTAAAATATTTATTTATTTGCTCCTTTTCTTTTCAGACAGTGTGTTACTGTGTAGCTTTGGCTGGCTGGTCAGGAACTTGACATGTCGACCAGCCTGTCCTCCAACTTACGAAATATGCCTCCTCTGCCTCCCAAGTGCTAGGATTAAAGACTTGTACCACCACTTCCAGATAAAAAGTTTATCTTCGTTATGTATTGGACATGTGCATATGTGTTCTTGTCCCTGAAGTAGAGGTACTGTATCCCACTAGAGCTAGAATAACTGGTGATTGTGAACCTCCTGGCATGGGTGCTGGGATCTGGTCTTCTGCAAGAACAGTATGTACTGTTAGCTGCTGAGCCATCTCTGTAGCTTCAAAAAGAATATAATTATGATAGTGATTTAGTGCTTGCCTCTTCATCCATCAAATACACAAAGATTTAATGGAGATGGAAGAGTGAAGTTCAATACCTGATCTCCGCCAGAAAGTAAGGAAAGCTTGAGCCTTCTCAAACTGTCTTTGCTTTCCTTGCCTCTGTTTTATTTCTGATTTTAATTTTGTGGTACCGATGTTTAAACCCACAGCCTCACACATGCTAGACACACCCTCCAAGCCTCGGCCCTCTAGTTTGTTCTGCATGTAGTGGTAATAATTACTGAGTGGAAGGGTTCCTTAGAGGAGGTGGAATTTGGTTGTTCTGGATCCGTTCACTGGGAAGTGGAGGTAGTCGGGTACTGGTAGATACATAGTCCTTTAGCTAAGGCTTGCAGATAATTCATTTTAGGGAATTTATAGACAGACTTCTTTTTTTTTTTTTTTTTTTTTCTGTTCATGTCTTGTCCTCCTCTCAGACTCATTTTTAAATCCTTTCCTGTAGGTCATTTCCTTAGAGAAGCTGAAAGATTTTGGTGAATGCGTCATTGCCCTTCAGGCTAGTGTCATAAAGAAATTCCTGCAAGGATTCATGGCTCCCAAACAGAAGAAAAGGAAACTTCAAAGTGAAGATTCCACAAAGTCTGAGGAAGTGGATGAAGAGAAAAAAATGGCTGAGGAAGCAAAGGTATTCAGTTACTGAATCTGAGTTGTGGATCCTTGCTTTAGCGTTATTTGAGTGTAGGAATGAGAAGTAGGGAGGCAGTTACAGCTGTTTGAGTTAAATCACTAATAAATGACTGTACGATGAAAATAGAATAAGGTAGGAAGTACACTGACCCTGCTTGTCCTTTCACAATAAACTGTGAAACCCCAGTTCTTTCCTGCAGTGACAGTGTAGCCAGCTGGTTGCTGTGGCTCCTTGTTCCTTGCTCAGCTTCACCAGAGAGGTATTGTGCTTATATCATTTCATCACTAACTCAGGAAATATGGGGGTTCCCATAAGATTTCTACTAAACAAAGATCCCTTTCATACCTTCTCAGAGCTCAAGATCCCTGGTGTGGTATAGCAGCCCTTTAATCCCATCTCTCAGGAGGTGGAAGAAGGCAGGTCTCTGAGTTCAAGGCCAGATCTATGTAGAGACTCTGCCTCAAAAGGAAAAAAAAAGAATCCAAGCCATCATGAGTCTGGGCCCTCTGTGCTGATGAAAAGGAATGGTCCCTAGGATGACTTGAGGGGTGCCAGGGTAATCAGAGCTCCCCAGCAATAGGCATGGGAGCTGGGTCCTCAAGTTTAGAATGAAATGAAATTTGTCTCTCTGTCAGGAACAATTCTGATTTTGTTTTTGTTTTAGACAGTAGTCTCGCTGTGCTGACCTGGAACTCTGTTTTGCTTTTTTCGAGACGGAGTTTCTCTGTGTAGTAGCCCTGGCTGTCCTGATACTCGCTTTGTTAGCCAGGCTGGCTTTGAACTCACAGAGATCCATCTGCCTCTTTTCTGTGCTAGGATTAAAGGTGTTTGCTGCCATGCCTGATCTCTTTGCTTTCCTTTTTTTTTTTTTAATTTTAATTTATTTTTATTTAAGCCAGGATTTTATGTATCCTTAGCTCCCAAGTGGTGGAATTACAAGGAAGCATCACAACAGCCAGATAGTTTAAGAATAAGTCTACTCTCGGGCTACAGAGCTGGCAAGGCAATTGAGAACATTGGCTGTTCTTCCAAAGGACCTGGGTTCTGTTTCCAGCACCCACATGGTAGCTAGCTTCAGTAGTCTAACTCCAATTCCCAAGGATCCAACAAGTCCTCTTGTGTGAATATGTGATTTCAAGCAAAAAATATTCAAGAGTAAGTCTACTACTTTCTTAAACACCTCTGGAGTTTGTACACAGTTGTGTTTCTCCTTACTTTTCTTAGGCCACAAGAGGTACATGATTCAGAGAGGATCATTTGGGGTAAGGGACTGGTCTACTTCATAGTGGTACTTCTTGCTTATGTCAGTTTTTACTGGAACAATCCTTCTGGGTTGCTTTTAATGACCTTTAGCAGCCAGATAACCTAGGCGATCTCTAAGATAGCTCCTGCCTCAGACTCCCAAGTGCTGAGGTTACAGACCTGAGCCACCAGACCTGGATCAAATTTCTTTATTATTTTAGTTGTATAAATTTGGAGTACAGTGTGATAAATCAGTCTGTGCAGTGTATACAGTGATCAAATCAAAGTAGTCAGTATTTCCTCTCTAAACAGTCTTTAAAGTTCATCGCACTTATTTATGAGGTACGGTTTTGTTAAATGCTACATGGGTTTTGTTCTTAACTCAAGGTTTGTGTGTACATGTACATTTGTGTGCCACCGCTAGTGTATGGACGTCAGAGGACAACTTGAAGGAGTCTGTTCTTTCATCATGTAGGTCTTGAGGATAGAATTCCTGGTGTCAGGCTTGGTTTCAGTCGCCTTTAACCTGTGAGCCGTGTTGTCCTTTAACCCAGCTTTGTTGGAAAGACTCTTGGAAAAAAACCTCATCTTTCCTTGCTATTTATTTTTCCTGTGGTTGTTGTTTTGTTTTGTTTTGTTTTTTTTTCTCCCTCTGAGGACCAACAGGTAATTAAGTCCCATTAAGGTCCCTTTGTGTACTAAACCCTGAGCTGAAATAAAATGTAAGCTCTTTATGGGTCCAGACAGTGTAGAAATGGAGAACTTCTTGAAAAATCAGGCTGTTGCTGAGTGGTTCTGTTGTGTTCTGTATTAGCAGTGTCCTGCAGCTCCCACCAAAGGTCAGCTTTGCCACAGCTCAAAATTTTCCACTGTCCTTCTTTGAAAGTTTCCACTTAGCAAGGGCCAGGGATTCCTTGGCTAGTATCGGGCTGGTACATGAGTTTATGGTAGTCTCTCATCTGGGCTCCAGTTTCTTTAGTTCTGTCAGATTGTTTCTCAGGTAGTTTTTAAGTTTTAAAAAATTATGTTTATGTGTGTATGCCTGCTTGTGTGTATATGCGTCATGTGCATGCAGTGCTCTCAGCAGCCAGAAGGCATCAGCTCCCCTGGAACTAGAGTTATAGGTAGATGTCAGCTACCTGATGTGAGTGTTGTACTGAACTGGAATTCTTTAGAGCAGGAAGTGCTCTGAGCCCACTTTCTAGTCCTTATCTTATGCCTATGTCGTTTGCTTAAATTGAGAAAGGTAATGTATACTTTAGGAAAATCCTTGATTTTATTTGGCATTCCTTCTTCTGCCTCTGTCTCTTTTGAGACTAGGTCTTGTCATATACCCGAGGCTGGCCTCAAACGCTTTAATTCTTCTGTTTCAGCCTCTTGAGTGTTGGGATAACAGATGTATGCCACTATGCCCTGCTTTCTTTGGCTTTGTTTGTTTGTTCTGACAACCCTATTGTCTTTTAATTTTTATTTTCTATTTATTTGTTTGTTTGTTTGTTTGTTTTTTATGAGACAGTGGTTTCACTCTAGCTCAGGCTGACCTTGGACTCTTAGTGATCTTCCTGCCTTCGCCTCCCAAGAGCTGAAGTTACAGATCTAATCCACTGTGGGAGTCTCTGTAACCACTACAGCCAGCAGAGTAATGAGACAAGAAGGCAGTTCAGTTAAACACAACTGAGTAACCAGTGTGGTTTAGACTTTGGAGTCTGAGACACTGAGTAGTTTATTTTAGGCATATGTAAGCACAGCACAGTTTGGTCAGAACTTTACAGGTATAATGAACTCAGTCACATGTGTGTAGTAAAGCACAGAGTACTCTATAGAGACTGGAGATGATTACATAAAGCTGGGATCTATAGATTGAGAAAAAACAAACTTAGGATAAGGGTATAGTGATGGATCTGGTGTGGTCTTCAGCCACACAGATATTGCAACATCACCAGGCTAGACTACATTTCTGCTTCCAGCCTTCTGGGAGGGTAACAGGTTATACATCCCTTCCTTAGAAGCAGAACCCTTGTGTGTTTAGCATTCCAGGTTCTCTAGTCCTTATCTGTGAGCACAAGGACCATACCTCCTACAAGATACCAGACCTGGCTTGACTTTTCTTCATTATTTTAGTGGTATAAATTTATAGTGTGTAATATGATAACTTAGTATGTGTACACAGTGTGGATAGTAATCAAATCAGTGTAGCTAGCATTTCCTGTCTTAAAACACACGGCATTTATTTTTTTTTAGATTTTTTATTTTATGCATATGAGTGGCTTGCCTGCATATATGTATGTATGTGTACCACATGTGTTTTTGGTGTCCACAGAAATAAGAAGAGGGAGAACACCTGAACTGGAGGTATGGGTTGTTGTGAACCACCATGTAGGTACTGGGAACTAAACCCAGGTCCTCTGCAAGAACACCAAGTGCTCTTAACCACCTTGCCATCTCTAGCCTCATTTAAACACTTTAAAAGTTCATTAATAGCTAAGAATTGTGCAAAATTTATGAGGTACTATGTAATATTTAAACGTGAACTCACAGCTGGGCTGTCATGGTATACACATTTAATCCTAGCACTTGGGAGGCAGAGGCAGGTGTATCTCTATGACTTTTGAGGAGAGCCAGGTCTATACACAGAGAAATTCTGTCTTCAGAAAAGTGTGAATTTGTTCATGAATTTGGTTGTCTTTCTGATGCAGGTACCTCATAGATACTTCATGTAATAGTCCTGTGTTGGTGGTGTGTCCTGTCAAAGCAGCAAAGTTTTCCATTTTGAATGGTGTTTTGTGAAAGACTCTTGTACAGCCTTGCATCCCTTCCAAGTCAGGATAACTGTCTTTCTAGTGTTGAGCAAAGAGGCTGGTGATGTGGTTTGACATGTAAGGTCCTTCCTGGATACTGTCCACTTCCTAACCAGAGGCTCACTGTAAGCATTTAACTTCTAGCAAAGTAAGGTGCCTGCTGTGCCATCTCAAAGTTTTATAGGCTATACATTGATGCTTATGCTGGTTTTTTATTACTATTTCTAGATGATACAGCATTCTTGAGCGATTTCTCTGGAAGAGACATGTTTCTTCTTGCCTCCACTCCATACTTAATCTCGGTGTGATCTTTGCCAAGTTTGTTTTTTATCCTTTGAAGCCTTGGGTTTGGGGCTATAATATAAATGAATGGTTTTAATGAAAATCTAGGAGGGCAGGTATCTTCAGAATTCCATTATGTCTTCACCCATTCCTAGCCCTTTCGTTGCTTTGAGGTCATGGTCATAATTCTAGGCTGTTGTACTTGCTTCTTAGGTTGCCTCTGCACTGGAAAAATGGAAGACAGCAATCCGTGAAGCACAGACCTTTTCCAGAATGCACGTTCTACTTGGGATGCTTGATGCGTGTATCAAGTGGGATATGTCTGCAGAAAACGCTAGGTGCAAAGTTTGTCGGAAAAAAGGTATACATTGAGGAGAGTTGCCCATCTGAGTGTTTGGGACCAGGCTTTCCATGCTCAAAGTCTTTCCTCTGAAGTAATTTTTGGTGCACTATTTCCCCCCTCTCCTTGTATGCACACATGTGAGTGTTGTAGGGCAGATTTTCTCTTTGCAGTCTCACTGGTGAGTCAGCATGTGTTCACATCTGCAGTGTATGACTAGAGCAGCTGCTGTGTCAGTCTTGAGAGTTTCTACAGGAGCAAATTAATTGATCTAAAATCTTATAGTCCTTTAGACATCTTAGAGCATTAGTCACCTGCGAGGTGAGGTAGGTGCCTCCAGCAGGGGGCAGTCTTTGCTCTGCACATTGCCTGCTTTAGCCCTGAATGCAGAGCATTTGAAAATGTTTTATGCTGAGGTTGTCCACATGATTTACTTTTTATTGGCTAATGCTACCTTATAAACTAACTTAGGGTTCAGTTTCCAAAGAGTGAAACACTCCATAGACTCAGTTGTTGTACAGCTGACATAGGATGAAAGTTGGGAAAGGGAGTTAACCATATAAAGTTCATACAGCATACTTTCAAATGTGAAGAAACCAGATCACTCAAATGTGTGGGATAGTTTTGGGATCCAAGAAGAACAGCAGTCTCCTACCATTGCTTGATTTTTTGCTGCCTTTTAGTTAAAATAACACACAAAATTTAAAAATTGTTTGTTTTATTTTATTTATTTATTTACTTTGGGATAAAATCTCATTATGTAACTCTAGCTTGGAACTCAAAAGGATCAATTTGCTTCTGTCTCCTGAGAGCCCAGCCATCTCTTAGTAAATATTAATTGTCCTGCCCTGGTTCTTGGTAGTTTTTCAAAAAACAAATACCTTTAAAAAAAAAAAAAAAAAAGAAAAAAGAAAAAAAAGCAGGCTGGAAACTTAGGTGAGTTGACCAAATGCTTGCACATAAGCATGAGGCCATCGTCCTTTGGTGCAGTCACATAAATGTTGGTTGCGCATGATGTTGGTTGAGCCTGTCCTTGCTCTTGGTTGGTGGAGACAAAAGGTTAGAGGTTTCACAGAACGAGTGTCCAGTCCTGCGTTCACATAAGAAACCCTGCCTCAGTATATAACATGGAAAGCTATTAAATGATATGACTAACATCAGCCTCTAGCCTCCACACATGTGCACACAACAAAGAGGCAGCTGAATTAGATGGTTATATAACTGTAATCCCATCATTTGCGAGGCAGTCAGGAGAACGTCCAGTTCCAGGCCATCGTGGGCTATACAATAAAACCTTATCTTGAAAGAAAGAAAAAGGAGCAGGAGAGATGGCTGACTCCTCACAAATGCTTGCTGCTTTTCTGGGGGACTCAGGTTGGGCAGTTGACTGGAAATCCAGTTCCAGGGAACCTAGCCAGTGCTCTCTCCTGGTTTTACAAGCTCTTGAACACATGTGGCATATGCTTCCTCGGACATACATGAACATAAATAAAAATAAATCTTTACTAAGAAAAGAGAGAAACACGGTGCTGCAGTGTTTGTTGTTCTGCCAACAGTGTTGTGTGGTCTCTATGTTTGCAGGTGAAGATGACAAGCTGATCCTGTGTGATGAATGTAATAAAGCCTTCCACCTGTTTTGTCTGAGGCCGGCCCTCTATGAAGTACCAGATGGTGAGTGGCAGTGTCCAGCTTGCCAGCCTCCTACCGCTAGGCGAAATTCCCGTGGCAGGTGAGAATTTTTTTTCTTTCAAAAATAGTGGAGAGCTGGAAAGATAGCTTACTTGGTAGAATGCTCCCTTAGCTTGTACAAGCCCTGGATTGGATTCCTACTACTACTACATAAGTCAGGCATGGTGGTACATGCCTATAATCTCAAACACCAGGAAGGTGGAGGCAGGAGAATTAGGAGTTCTAGATCATTCCATACTATATGAGACCATCAGATAAGTTGATAGGTAAAGTAGCTTCAGTTACTCAAACTGAGTGTTTCTAAGGAACTTTAAGCTCAGTTGGATGCAAAACTTGATCAGTTGTGGTGCAGCAGTAGGAGCTGCTAGATGCTGTTGTCTCACTTTGGTTTGGGGTGCTGTGTGTGTGATTGAGTGAATGTGCATGTGGTGTTTTAATTTTACTTTTTTATATATGAGTGTTTTGCCTGCATGTATCTATATAAATAATATGTGTGTCTGTTACCTGTGAAGGTCAGAAGAGTACATAGGGTACCATGTGGGTGGTTAATGTTGATGGTTCTGCTTTTCAGGCGCTGCACCCCACCCCCACCGCCCCTGTTTTGCTTTGGTTTTTCAAGACAGTTTCTCTGTATAGTGCTGGATGTCCTTGAACTTGGATATCTGTCTGCCTCTACCTTTTATTTGCTAGGAATAAAGGTGTTTACCCTCAAGACCAGATGTTTCTCTTCTCGGATGAACTGTTTTATAGGTGGTCGTTGCTGATTGTCTACAGCCAAATCGTTTCCACACTTAGTTTCCTTTCCTTGGGATCTTTTTGGACATGAACTTCCCTTCCTTTTCTAATTAGCCAAATATTATCAACCAAGTGTCAGCTGTCAGTGAATCAGTCTTCTGCTCCTCATTCTCTGTGGTTCCCTGCTGTTTTCTTCCCACGTGTCCATCCTCTCACTTGGGCTTCTAAGGTGGCTTTTAGCCCTGTCCTCTCCTTCCATCTATGGCCTTTCACTGGTAGAGATCCAAACCGCATATAGAAGACAGAACTGTTCTAAAATTAAGTTTAACTCCTCATCCTTATTTTTGAGGCTTTTGACACATTAGATTTTTGAGCTTGTTTTCCTCTTTGTGTGCTTGTTACAGACTATATTATTATTGCTGTCCCTTGTGGTTCCCAGCATCTAGCATTCTCTCCGTCTAGCACTGTCTACTGGATAACCTGCTTGAGGCTAAGCTGAAATTGCATTGCTTCTTTCAGAAGTCCTTATAAGCAGCCCTGCTTTCAGTCTCAAAACAGTGTGGTCCCCTACAAGTAGAGGTGCTGCTTTGTTCTGGGCTTGTGTCCATACAGCCAGACCAGCAACTTTGAAGGCACCTAACATTTACCCATTTGCTGCTATTGCTTTCTACATTGACATTTGAGGTTGTGAAAGGGCAGAGCTATGTTTGATCCCAACCACACCTTATCAGGTGTGATATTGTGAGTCAGTGGTGTTTTTTACTGTTTGTGGAGAGAAGTAAGAGTTGTATTTTGTTCTTGATCCTCACTTCCTGGTAGTGTGCCCTAAACCCTTTTAGGCTGAGCAGACAGAAGTTTACTGGTGAAGCATATTAGAAACTCCTGGCCTTACTCAGAGGGTCTCTCGTCACTGTCAGCTCCATGTGGTCCTGAACAGACATATTGCAGGCAGGGATCCTGTGGGGTTTCAGGTTCTCTTAATCCACCCAGGTATAAAACAGAACTGTGTCTCTGTTTGGCCTTTCCTTCTCACAGGAATTACACTGAAGAGTCTACCTCTGAGGACAGTGACGGTGATGAGAGTGGTGAAGAGGAAGAAGAGGAAGAGGACGAGGAGGAGGAGGAGGAAGAGGAGGAAGAGGATTATGAAGTGGCTGGCTTGCGGTGTAAGTGTCTGGTGTGGTATAGTTGCTCTTGGTCTTTCGGATTGACCAGAGAAGCCTGACTGTCAAGAGAAGTTCAGCATTGCCTTTCTTCCTTTTCTCTTGGGGCTGTGGGTGACTGAGCTGCCATGTGTCTGTATTGGCTTTCAAGATGTCAGGGAGAGGGGTATGCAGATAATGGAGAGGTAGCTCAGCAGCTAAGAGTATACTGCTCTTCCAGATGACCAGTATCCATGTTGGGCAGGTCACAACTGCCTGTAACTTCAATTCCAGGCTATCTCGGACCCTTACCTGGACTCTGGGCACCTTCACTCATGTGCACATATGTATATACACATACATATAATTAAAAATAAAATCTTCTAAACTGTCAGGGAGAGGGTGGGTTGGTCTCCAGAACATGAGCCAACAGCAGAGTACTTGCTCTAAGATTAAGTAGAACTTAGGGAGCATGTTTGTGCCGTGGTTGCTGGTCTAGCCCCATCCTGCACTGATAGTCGCTGGGGAGGTCTTTGGCCAGGGGTGCAGGGCTGGTTTCAGAGATCCTTTGCTTCTCTCATCACATATGCTGATAGATGCTCCCTGAAGTGTATAAGGCTCGTGTTTTGCTACTTTGGAAAGAGAAGGTTGGTTTTCCTATAGTTCAGTCATAAGGATGTTGGGAAGGCCCAGTCTGCTCTCTGGGTTAGTTATCAGCAAAAGAGACCACATCGGTGATGTTTACAGCATCGGTTCGTCCTCTGTGCTTGTTTCTCATGGCTGTAAGTGTTGTCATTGATGAAGCCAGTGGCCCCAGCCAGCCTTTCAACAGCCTTTTTATAGGTCTCAAGAACAGTTGCAGCTCTGAAGAATTGTCCTTGCTGTGTGAAGCAGGTGTTTGGTATGATCATTTCATACTGCAGTGGTGTCTGTCTGTTCTGGCCTCCATGCCCATCCTAGTCCTTCTTCCCTTACAGCCTAGATAACTACTGAATGATCTTTCCCATCTTGGGCTCTTTCTTTCTCTTTTTTTTAAAAAAGATTTATTTATTATGTATACAGCGATTTCCCTACATATATGCTGCAGACCAGAAGAGGGCACCAGATCTCATTACAGATGGTTGTGAGCCACCATGTGGTTGCAGGGAATTGAACTCAGGACCTCTGGAAGAGCAGTCAGTGCTCTTAACCTCTGAGCCATCTCTCCAGCCCCCATCTTGGGCTCTTTCTTGAGACAGGAACTCACTGTGTAGGCCAGGCTTGACTCAGCATCTGTCTTCTAATTACTCTGATTAAAGACATTTCTAAAGCTGGGGAAAATACCTCCCCATTGTGGAATTACAGACAAGTGCCACCACAGTGGACTGTTGGTTCACTAGGTATGATTTCAGGTATGCCAGGACCATCCATCCTATGTTATGAAGAGACTCCTCATAATGACATAGGGTATGGATGCACATTGTCTGAAGACAGCTGAATGCAGCAGTCTGTTGAGTATGTTATTTTTATGCTAGTGATTATGTCCCACCTCTACTCCATGGAGGCAGTTGTTTTTTCTGGGTTTCTAGGTCTATTGCCTCCCAAAAGAATCTAGAAAATATTTGATAATTTATAGAGTCCTTGTCCTCAACCTTTCAGGTCACTAGTGTTGGTTCCCTGGTGGAGTTTCAAGCCCTAGCACCTGAGTGGCAGCTTCTTCCCCTTCCTCATGAACCTTGTCTGGAGCTAGAAGCCTTAAAATAGCCACTGAAGGGTTAGCATGGTCCAGAAATAGAATGGGAAGCATCATTCATTGGTCTCCACATGGCTGCCTCGCTAAACACATTCTCTACCCAAATGTCATCTCCCCCACCCCAGGTATTAGCAAGAGAAGGTCGTGGAAAATGTTTTAGTAGAGGAGAAGCCTCAAGCTAATCCTCGCAGAGAATGCTCCCAAGGGCATCCCAAGGAATGTTGGTTCGCCTGCCCCTGAGCACCTGCCATCAACCAGAGATACGAGTAGTCTAAGTGCCTTCAAGTTTATTCTTTATAGGATGCCAGGAAGGACTCTTAGGGAATAGTCTCAACTACTATCTTGGTTTTCAGAAACATTCGAAAGCAAATCTTGACTTGGATTTGCAGAATGCTGTGGCCCCTAGTGTAAGCTTTTTGCTGCAAACATTGGGTAATGGGCATAGGGTAGTTGGAAATTACAAAGCAATGGCAAATTCCCTTTTACACGCAAGTACATGCATTCTGTGGGGCTAAGTCTAAGTCTAGGCTGCAGGAGAGCCATACTGCCATGTTAGCAAACATGTTTTCCTGCTGAGTTACTTGTCAGTTGACTTATGTGAAAACATACTGAATAACTGAGCCAGGTGGAGACAAGCTAGAAGTGCTGGGGCCTGGCCTTCTGTTTAATCATTCAGGTCTTGTCCTCCTCCCCTAGCATGCACACCCATGCCACTCTCTGCCCTGCTCTGAGCCCATCTTTCATTTCAGTGAGACCCCGAAAGACCATCCGTGGCAAGCAGAGCGTTATCCCTGCAGCAAGGCCAGGCCGACCACCGGGTAAGAAGTCACGTTCTGCCAAGAGATCACGGCCAAAGGCCCCACCTGGGGATGACACAGAAGTTGAAGAACTGGTAAGAATTTCTTAGCCTGCCTCTAGTCTTTGTGTTCTGTATGTTCTAGTCCACCATGAGGAATTCACAAGGCAACAGGTGGAAGGGAGACTCCCTTCCTTTCCCCTCCCCCTGGGTTAGGGGTTGAGACAGCAGATGGATAGGCCTCTGGGCAGACTAGGCAGCAGGCTCTCCAGGAGCAGCTATGCCCGGCATCCTGCCTAGCCTTCAGACGGTCTCCTCTAGTTAGCAGCAGCCTGCAGCTCGTTAGGGACTTTAAAATAGTATCCATGTGTCTCTGGTGGGCCCAGAGGGGTGGGCCTCCCTGTGGGAATGCCAGCAATGCCAGAGCCACTAACTGCTAGACTGCAGCCACAGTTGTTAGGACATCACCTCCACCCGTCTGTTACCAGCTGATATCATGGTTGTAGTTTAGTTTTAGAACTAACTCACTTGAGCTTGAGGAATAGAAGAAAGCCCTCGGGAACTGGCTTGTCGTTATAGATCAGTTTGGACTTGAGGACCTAAAGCAAGCCATTAGGGAGAGGAATAATCCGTAAAGTTGTCAGTGCCTTGTGTGAGGTTCCTACTACTGGGAGTCCCAAATGGTTGTGACTGCCTGGAAGGGTACCACACCCCTTATCTCTTTAGCCTCTCATAGCCTGGAAATGTTGGTGAAGGGAGCTATACCTCCTGCTTTTTTTTTTCTAAGCATACCCTGCCCCACAAAGCTAGCTGCTGGGGTCAGCTGCTGCCTGGCTTTCTGCAATTGCTTGTTTATGCCCATAACCCTGGATCCATCTCTTATAGGTTTAGTGTCCAGTTGCAGTAGCCCTCTCCAGCTACCCTCTATCTGTCCTGAGCACCTGCTGCCTGCCCTCTGCCCCTTTGATCATTATCCCTGACTTGAGAGTACCACCCCTCTTGAATATCACTCAATTTTGAGGCCCAAAGAAGTGATGAAACTGTTTCCCTTTTTGTTTTAGCAGATAGGTTTGTTTTGTTTTGTTTTGTTTTGTTTTGTTTTTCTTCCTCTGTCTTGTCTACTCATCTACTCTTAGAATGAATGGCACTCTGCTTCCTCTGGTACTAGGTACTTCAGACCAAGCGTAGTTCAAGGAGGCAGAGTCTGGAGCTACAAAAATGTGAGGAAATCCTCCACAAACTGGTGAAGTACCGCTTTAGCTGGCCCTTCCGGTGAGTGCCCACACTCAGGCTGCTCTAGCCCCTTCCTTTTGAGACATGTCTTAGCAAGGGGATGGGGAGTGACAGCCCTTAGAAGGTGAACACATGCCAGGTGATGATGGTACACACTTTTATTCCAGCACTGGGGAGGCAGGGACAGGCGGATCTCTGTGAGTTTGAGGCCAGGCTGGATCTACAGAGCGAGTTCCAGGACAGACTCCAAAACTACAGAGAAACCCTGTCTCGGGGGGGGAAAAAAAAAAAAAACAGAGAACAAAAAAGAAAAAACAGTGAACACACCTTGTCCCCTGGGTTGGCTGATCCATGGCTGCTAGCATCCTGGGGCTGGTTTTGTTTTTAGTGGCCCTTCAGCCTATGCGTGTTTGTCATTTGGTGTTTGCCTACAGGGAGCCTGTGACCAGAGACGAGGCTGAGGACTACTATGATGTGATCGATCACCCCATGGACTTCCAGACCATGCAGAACAAATGCTCGTGTGGGAACTACCGATCTGTGCAAGAGTTCCTCACCGACATGAAGCAAGTGTTTACCAATGCTGAGCTCTACAACTGCCGTGGCAGCCACGTGCTAAGCTGTATGGGGAAGACAGAGCAGTGTCTGTTGGCTCTGCTGCATAAACATCTCCCTGGCCATCCCTATGTCCGCAGGAAACGCAGGAAGTTTCCTGATAGGCTCGCTGACGATGAAGGGGACAGTGATTCAGAGTCTGTTGGACAGTCCAGGGGACGAAGACAGAAGAAGTAAAGAGGGCCCTAGCAAGGCAGCCGTAGGGGGGAATAGGAGGAGAACACCAAAGGGTGTGGGAGAGGCAAGAAAGAAGCTGGGAGGACTTAAAGGGGAAGTGACTGTAGCATCCCGAAATGCCTGTCATGCCAAGCTTGGGCTTTTTCTGCAACTCCCCATGGGGCCCTTTTCAAGCAAAGCCAAGCTCTTAGGGAGTATGGTACTGGCCTGGTGAACCCTGCCCAGAAAAACTAGCAGCAGAAGTGGGCCTCCCTGAGTTCTGAGAGCTGGGAGAAGCCTGGATATGGCTTCTCCTGTGAGCTCTGCCCTCCTCCTCTTCCCCCTCCTGACTTTACAGCAGTGCCAAGCCTGGGTCTCCAGAGAGGGTACTGTATCCCACAGTAGGAAGGAGCATCATCTGGCCATGCTGGTTGAGGTGTGGATCTTTTTGAATTTATATTTATATACAGTCCTATTTCTTTATGTCCGCACTATCTCTTCCTCCTCCCTCTCAGGGACAGTATCAGCTAGTGCCATACAGAATTCTGTGTTCACCAGCATCTTGGGACAGTGTGGGCTTTGAGTTGATCATGGCAGAGTAGAGGGACATTTTCTGGAGCTGTTCCTGAGCACCCTCTCCATTGTGCAGCCCTTCCCTACCCTCACCCCTCACCGCCTCATAAAAAACAAAGCAAACTAAGGCACTTCCCGTAGAGACTGGAGTCCTGCTTCTAATCATGCTATGATCTTGGCTTTGATGGGTCTGGCCAGAGGGGTGTTGGGGCCCAGCCCACCCGCAAACCAGACAAGCCCCTAGGGAGCCAAAAAAAAGAGCAGGAAGAAGTTAAAATGTTTTAATTTTTTAAATTGACTTTTGTAGTTACTAAAGTTGCTTGTTTCTGCAGTGATATTGTATAAAGAACATCTTGTAAAATACTTGTCATCTTGCTTTGGCACATGTACAGTACAGTTTCTATGATATGTGTTCGCTTTACTCCCCTCCTCAGAGAGGGCAGCGGGATCTGGGGTTGAGCCCTCTCTCTGCCCTGGTGGCGCTCTCCTTTCCTGTGGGTACCCACTCCTCTAGGACCCACCCTGCAGACCTAGTCCTTTCCAGTGGACTGTAGCCGGTGTCAGCAGCAGGAGAAGGTGGGGAGGGCCAGCTCTGCCCTTCGTAGCCAGTCTAGCCTCGTGTTGTATTTAGGCAAAAGTTTGTAGTCTGCTTTCCCTTTTATGACAGATTTTGATAAAAGTACAAGACAGGGTTTAACTTTTCTTTTCTATCTATTTTTAATTTGGAAAATGTGAGCCACTCAGCTCTCCTTATTTAAAGGAAGATAAGCCCACCAGGCCAAGAGGTTCACCACTTGGGCAGAAGAAGGCCTGGCTGTGACTTCTGTGTATAACCCAGTCCAGTGGCTGAGGAAGGTTTCCCTCCCCTCTTCTGTGGGCTAGGTTGGGGTTAGCACTAACACTGATGCCGTGATCCTTGGCACCTCAACCTCCCTGCTTCTAACTGGTGTTTTAGCAGAAAGCTGGTATTTCCACTGCAGTGACATCTGCATGGTGGCTTTTTAAATTGTTTTAAAGGAGGAAGGGCTGCGGCTAAAGGTAGACTTGTAATAAATTGGATTTCAAATAAACATTATGTACTTGTGTTTATAAAGAAGAGACAGCTCGGTGATTCCTTTTTGTCTTGGGGCAGTGGTGGGCAGTGCAGCCCTGAAAGCCAGGTTATTTAGAGCATGAACAGTGTGCTGAATTTGCATGCACTTGGCCCCTGCAGTTCTGTCCTTCAACTCCTTGTATTTGTGCTTCTTATTTTAAAGTCAGTGGATGTGAGTAGTTCCTTGCTGGGCAGTAGCCTGCCTATGAAATTGAAAGGTTTTGCTGGGCCTCTCACCCCACGGAGGCAGTCAGAACGCATCAGTCCTGCTTACAGGTTCTGGTACTGTTACTTCCACCAGCCTGGCCTGCACTGAGCACAAAGGAGAAAATGACCCCCTCAGATACCGCCGCCTGCTTACCAGTTCCAGCTCACCCACTCTGGGAAAGAATTGTGTTTAATGTCCACACCTTGAGTGCCACTCCGCCCCACATCTGCAGTCTTGTTCCTCGGGTGGATATTCCAGGCACATGTGTATGTAGAGCCATGCCATTCTCCAGCAATGGCCCTGGCCCTGTTAGTGGGGCCTAAGTGGCAGCTGGCCTGTAGAGAGGCTGAGCAGAGATCAGAAGTTCAAGCTGGCCGAGGAAATTTAGACCTTGTTTCAGAAAGTGACAGTGGCATAGCACTTGCCTGGAGCATACACCTCACTCACACCCACTCCCATGAGAGGCTACGGCCTGCTCCAGACACAGCCTTAACCATAGAACAGGGAAAGCTCCAGGCAGTGCTCTGCCTCTAGAGCGTGGGCCTCCCAGCATACTCCCCTCCCGAGTTCTGACCAACTCTGCATGTCCTTCACTGCCCATCCCTGCTTCCCATCATCCCTCCTGGTTTCTCTAGAAGCCAGTCTTGTTTCTTGCGCAGATAGCCAAGTCCTAACCTCTCCCTTACCCACAGACGAGCAAGGGTAGAGGGGTACACTGGTTGCCAATAAATGCCTCCCTCAGTGCAACCCCTGCCTTTCCCTTTTCAGGTATCCGACTGCCAAAATCCTACAGGTCCATGAACAAGTCCTGAGAAGCCACTCCCTTCCCACTCCCAATAGAGGCTATAAAAGCTCTTAGGCAAGAACCTTTGCAGGAGATACAAGGCAAGGTCACTCACTGGCTTTGTGGTCAAAGACATGATGTGAACAAAGTTCCTTACACGAGAAAAGACATTCTATATACAATAAACAGTATAAAGAATTTCCTAGGAGGCCAGATGGTGGTGGCGCACGCCTTTAATCCCAGCACTCAGGAGGCAGAGGCAGGTGGATCTCTGTGAGTTCAAGACCAGCCTGGTCTACAAGAGCTAGTTCCAGGACAACAGGCTCCAAAACCACAGAGAAACCCTGTCTCGAAAAACCAAAAAAAAAAAAAAAAAAAAAAAAAAATTCCTAGGAAAGCCTGAAGGTGTGACTCGGTGGTAGACCACCAGTCTAGCATGCTTCAAGCCCTGGGTTTGCCCCCAGCTAAGCTAAAGTGTGTGCAACAAGTTCCTATCATGGTCTAGTTGCACATGCATGCTATTCTTGGGTAACTGCATGTAACTGAGGTGTTTTATATGGGTAACTGCATGTAACTGAGGTGTTTTATATTCCCTATTCCCACTTCAGCTAACAAGATAAAGACATGAAGTGCGATATGATATTTAATAAAACAATTTCTAAAACCTTCCTTAGCCAGGTGAGGTAATGTGCCCTTAGTCCCAGCACACATGGGCAGAGGCAGGCAAATCTGAATTTGAGGCCAGCCTAAACAAATTCCAGGACAGCCAGAGCTATGTAAAGAGACCCTGTCTCAAAAACACACACAAAACTTTTTGAGGGGCTGCCTATGTGTAGAAGACATCAAGATCTTTGCCTGGGGACGGGGGAAGATGGTACAGTGGGCACATGCTGTGGGAGCATAAGGACCTGAGGTCAAACTGAGCACTCACAGCAAAAGCGGGGTGTAATTCAGTGAGCTGATAAAGACTTAAGAGGTCAGATGGAGCTGATAGGGACCTCCAGGATGACCATACATACCTCAGGGTACAGGGATGGGGCAGGTCTAGCAGACAGGTATCCATGGTGCTTTCCTGACCTGCCGACTGGCCCAGCACAGCTGTGCACATCCTTACAGCTGCTGTCAGCACCCCAAATCTTCCTATGTGTTCTGGAGCTGAAGACAAAGTTCTCACTGACTCAATAGCTCCCTACCTCCAAGATGCTTGCATATTCAAGCCCCATCTTCCCCCTATCCAAAAATAGGAAGATATAGCTTAGGGCTCCAAATACCAAAGATTGACTTTTTTGTTGTTGCTGCTGTTATTGAAGGATTCTGTTGTTGATGATATTGTTAATGCTTTTTTTTTTTTTTTGAGACAAGGCTTCTTACTTGCCAAACAATAATACTTTGGAAACTATTTTTACAGCTACTCATGGAGGGGGGGCTCAAGTTCATGGTAGCTGGTTCTCTCCTACCAACGGGGTTCAAGGGATTGAACTCAAATTATGAGGCTTGGTGGCAAGCAACTTTACCTGCTGAGCCATCTGGCCTGCTCCTTCCCTTTAAATTTTATTTTTTACATAGCTAGGGGATGCCCTTGAATTCTTGATCTTCCTGCCTTTACCTCTCAAGTATTTGGATTATAAACATGCTTAGCCATGCCTCTTTTAAGGCATGTTGGCGGTGGGACCCAGGGCTTCAGGCATGCTAGGCAAGCACCCTACCATGGAGTTGTTTCCCTGCTCCCAGCAGTCTTCACAGACTCAGTAGAGGATGACTTGGAAGGACTTGCTGTTTAAAGACATCACATTTCTTTGTGTATTAGAAGGGGGTTGTGCCACGGAGAATTTGTGTGAGTTGGTTCCCTTCTTCCACCATGTGAGCCCCAGCAATTGAACTCATGTCCTTAGCCTTGGTGGCAAGCACCTTTACCCACCAGGCTACCTTGACAGCCCCGACCCCCTTTGTTTTCTAAAGCAAATTGTGAAGAAGCAGCTTACCTGTTTCCCCAAACAGGCTGGACAACCCTGCGAAGGCTAGAGGAGCCATGTCACACCCAGGGATTCCTGGGGTATTCATGAAGGTGTCTTTGTTGCACTTCAAAGGCATGAGTCTCAGTCTTGAGACAAATGAGAACATCAAACACACACACACACTCCTGTGATGCACAGATGCCCATGGCTCCCTCTCCTTCACAGGAAGCCAGAAAACGGGTCATGGCATGAGCCTCACGGCCTCTCACCCCCAGCTCTGCTTATGAAGTGTCTCCCTTCTGCCTGGTCTTCCCTCTTTCCAGCACAGATAGGACAAGGCGGTACCACATGAGGGTTTATTCCAGCCACAGCTTCCAGAGAAACGCCACAATAAATTACATCATTAAATAAGCCCCGCACTGGACCCTGCCCTCGTCTGTCCCTTCTTCTAGGACCCTCTGGGGCCTCAACTAGGCCTGCTCCCTGTGAGAGAATGAGCCTATGAGCCTTACTGGGTCCCCACCCTAGTCCTTAGCCCCCTGTGTCTCACTCGCCTGACCTTGACAGCTGGGCAGCTGTTACTCAGCTGTCTCCCAAGGGGGGAGGGGAGGGCGAGGAAGGAGCCGCCATAGTCCATAGCCAAGCCCATGTCCCTAGAGGTGTGTGGGGTTCTCCAGAGACGGATCTGTCTTAGTCATGTGCAAGACCACCGTGGGTGCCTTGTACTGGCAGTGAGTACCACGGCCATAGCCCCCTGGGGCCCGGCAGGCTTTGGCTCGGACTCGGCCAGCTGCCATTTTTCGGTAACACAGGCTCTGCCATGTCTGGAAAGTCTTGGAACTCCATACCCAAACTCCACTGGTGATGCCCACCACCAAGGACATGAAGATTTTGAGCATGAAGACAGCCACAGTGGGCACCGAGCCCCCTGGCAGTGAGCAGTCTCTTCGGCCTCCAGGCACAGTGGCAGCAGTGCATGGTTGCTCGGTGGCCCGAAGGAGCCAGTAATCCATGTTGAGGCGCTCATAAACGTAGCAGACGATGACGCAGGTGGCCGGCACTGTGTACAGGATAGAGAAAACTCCGATCTTGACCATCAACTTCTCCAGCTTCTCCGTGTTGGTGCCACCTGTCTTCATGATTTTGCGTATATGGAAGAGAGCCACAAAACCGGTCAGGAGGAAACTGGTGCCAAGTACCAGGTAGCAAGAGAGGGGTACCAACACGAAGCCGGTGAGGGCTGCCGGGTCCATGCTAGCTACATAGCAGAGCCCCGTCAGTTCATCCCCAGCCACCTTGCGCAGCGTCAGGACCACGATGGTCTTGAGAGCTGGCAAGCCCCAAGCTGCCATGTGGAAGTAGCTGCCATGGGCCTCAATGGCCTCATGGCCCCATTTTTTGCCTGCAGCTAGGAACCACGTGAGAGTCAAAACCACCCACCAAAGTGAGCTGGCCATACCGAAGTAATAGAGCAATAGGAAGACCAGGGTGCATCCTGTGTTTTCCAGACCCTCCTGGATCACATACAGAGCCCCTGCCTCCTGGTCGCAGGCCACACTCTGTGCACCTACCACCGCTCGGATCAGGAAAGCCAAAGAGTAGACGTTGTAGCACATGGAAAGGAAGATAATGGGACGCTCGGGGTACTGGAATCGATGAGGCTCCAGCAGAAAGGTGAAGACGGTGAAGGCTGTGGAGAAGAAACACAACGCAGACCACACTGCCATCCAGACGAGCGCGAAGTCCTTGTCGCGCCGAGACCAGAACACCTCGACGCCTGGCCCGCAGCGCGGAGCGCACGAGCGACTCTTCTCCACGTACTGGAACTTCTCGGGGTTGTCACAGGTGCCACCACTGCCGGGACCTGGGGCTGAATCTCCCGGAGGCCTCGCTGGCCGAGGTGCCACAGGTAACATGCCCAGGCCCTTGTGGGGTTCTGTGGGGCCTGAGGTGGCGTTCTCCGGTGCCTCCATGCAGAGCGCGTGCGGGTCGTTGCGCGTGGGGAGCCGGGCGCAGTCGAGCGAGTCCGGCCAGCCGAAATTGAATTGTTCCATGATGGG